CATGGTTTTCAGGTCTAGGGATTAGTGTGTGTGAGAGGACAATGCGCAGAGATTCTAGTGGTGGTGTTGGAAGCTTTGTTTTGTGGAGTTTCAAATGAATTTTGGCTGCAAGTTGGGCGGGTTCAACCCAGCCCAGTCCCAACCCAACCTCAACCCGAATCGGGTTGGGTTGGGCCAACCCGAATTATACTGAACATGGATTATAGTCAAAACCCAGCCTGAATATTGTTAGACTGATCGGGTCGGGTTAGCGGGGTGAGTTTTTAAAAATTATTTATATTTTTGTTTGGAAAATATATATATTATATAGATATATATATATATATATTATTAAAAAACAAAAAAAAATTTAGGGCAAATCATTTCAGCCTCCCCTGTCTCATTCTCAACTCACTCTCTCTCTCTCTCTCTCTCTCTCTCTCTCCAACTTTAAACTACAAAATCTACAAGAATCAGAAGTTCAAAATCCATATATTTCAGATCTGTCTGCAAGAATCAAAAGTTCAAAATCCATATATTTCAGATCATTTCAGATTGTTCAAAAAATCAAAACCCATATGTTTCAGTTTCCATCGCCGGCTGTTCTAGTTCTTGCCGTTCGCAAGCTTCAGCCGTCTCAAGCTTGCCCCCCTCTCTCTGCAACTGCTAACTTGTATGTATGGGTTTTGTTTTTATTTTTGGAAGTGACGGCGGCGGCGGTGGATCGGCTGAGGAGAGAGAGAAAGAGAAAAAAAAAAAAAAAAAAAAAAAAAAATTAATTTAGAGAGAGAAAGAGAAAGAAGAGAGAGGAGAGAGAGAGAAAAAAAAAATTTGGGCAGAAAGAAGAAAGAAGAAAGGGAAAGAAGAGAGAGGAGAAAAAAAAAAAATTTGGGCAGAAAGAAGAAAGAAGAAAGAGAAAGAAAAGAGAGGAGAGAGAAAAAAAATTTCGGTGAGGAGAGAGAAAAGAGAAAAAAAAAAAAAAAAAATTTAAATTTTGGATTTTTGGTTGGGTTCGGGTTGAACCCGAGCCCAACCCGAATTGTCTGGGTTTTGACAAAACCCAACCCGAGTATAAACCCGATTTGTAAATTGCGTGTCCAAATTTTAAAATTTTTGGGTTAGGGTTGGGCTAAGCTGGGCTAACCCGCCCAACTTGCAACCCTAATTTTGTGAGAGTATATGAACAGTAACTGTAATGGATTTTCAATTTAAATCGATTTTTAGAATTGTTTTGGAAGTAGGACTGAGGGTGAGAGAGTTTGAAAAGTTTTTGGAAATGGGTTTGAAAAGTATTCGGTGAAATTTTTAATTTTCGGCTAAAACGTTACTGCTGCATGGGTTTGTTAACTTAATCTTGGAGTGCGACGTGACAAAACGGTGACCATGAAAATCTGAATTGGACCAACTGAGTCAACAGTAAACTAGACTGAATCCAAGTCCGACCTACCGCGCCAGATTGCCGCGTACAATTGGGTCAAAGAAAAAAACTCAAACATAAACTATGGTTTAGAAGGGACTACGTGACAAAACAGTAGCCAAGAAAAAGATAAAACGGTAGCCAAAAATGGACTAGACCAACTGTATCAACAGTGAACCGGACTGAGTCCAAGTCTTGCCAAACATCAGCTACTAACCTTTACTATTATGATATTATCCCAGCTACTATAATACTACTGGTATTTAATTAGCTTGACACGTGCAAGAAGTTAAAGAACAAGAATAAAAATTAAATTAATTTAAATATAATTATTTTATATGTAAAAAAAATACTATATATATTATTTTTATTTTTAAGTACTCATGTATTACATATGGTATGAATTCCATTTATCTTATAATTAAGTTTAGTTTTATTTATTAATTTTGTCAAAATAATTAAATCACGACTTCAAATTCATAAATAAATCGTTATAATTTATATGTTTCCATGTTCTTTAAAAATCACTAGAATGCAATAAAAAAAATCATTTTTAAATGGGGACACTCAACGTATGTTATAAATATTCATTTATTAAAAATTAAATTTATTTTTTTCGTTAATTTGTTAAAAATATAATTATATCGCAACTTAAAATTATAAATATGTTATTATTACTTGTATTAAATGAATCTTATGAAATTGAATAAAAATTATTAAAATTCCTACGAATTTATTTTTATTGAATTATATTGTAAAAATATGTATATCAGTTCATTTTGGACCATATCTTCATACGCGTGCTATACCGTCAAAATTACCTGGCTTCCTTTGACAGTAGTTCTTTAGGTGAAACTAACGGGGAGAAGAGCACATGATTATCATGAGCTCCTACTCACTTTTTTTATTTTTTGTGTTGGTACCATATGCTGTGATTTTCTCTTGATGGAAATTGTTTCTTGGGAAAAATTTCCAAGAAATAAATATATCTATTTTTTTTTTATGACAATGACATAAACATCAAATGGAAATAAATAGCCTTTTTTTTACTAATATAAATACATACATACATACATACATATATATATGGATGAAGTACAAAAAAACACTCGTAAAGTATACTTTTTGTAACACTTTTACTCCTTATTTAAAGAAGTGTTAAAAAAAAAAACACAATTATTTTTTTCATATTGTGCGAAAACATTCCTTAATTAGAAATCTAACATAAACTAATGTTACAATGCTCATTTTACCTTTTTACTCTTAAAAAAATGCACATACCAAACCTTACTCTCCACCCCCCAAACAACCACCACTGTGGAAAACCCATTTCATTTTGGTGCATTTCTTTTCCGTGAAACCCACTTCAGTTCGACAATGTGCATGTCCATGCTACCTCGGCCCACCATTGCAAAAACCCAACAACGAGCTCCTACAACTGAAATGACGGTGAAGGTGACGATGACACAACAAAGTTCCAAGACATTCACGGTTCTACATTGACCAAAGCTGAGTTCGTGAGATTGAAGCCTTCTTCATGGCCGTGGAGTGCTGCACCACCGTGGCAACTATATTGTAGCAGTGGAGTGTCGCACCGCCGTCGCTGTTGCGCATGCTCACCAGTGAAGTTGGTTGCAATCACCGGAACTATTCGGTGAAATTTTAGAGTTTGCTACTGAAAAGTTCAAGGATATCTCGAAACTCGATGAAACTGTTCTGAGGTTTGCTCCAATCATTTTCTAGCTCACATAGGTACTCGTGCTCCCATGATCGCGAGGCTAGGTCATCCAATCCACCCACTACTCCTGTTATTCTCTTCATAAAATTGTTTAAGGTTCTCTCATACAAATACACGTATGAGAAGGACAAGGGAGGATCCAGAATTGCATAATGGAGGGGCTAGTACTACTAATTTTTTTTATTATTTTTTTGAGTTGGGCTAAAATTATCTCTAGTAAAAAATAATATATGTATATTTTTTGAAGAAGGATTTATTGAACAGAAAAGTAGCTGGCAAGAACTATAAAACGTCAGCGTTTCAGTTAAATGAAAAAAAAAAAGGGAAACAATACCAATTACCATGGCAAACACTGCCTTAATGATCCAAACCGAGTTCTCTATTCTCTTCCCCTATGCGAAGAAGAAACCAGTCCACCTTGTTTTATCATACCAATCAAAGATGAGAAATCAGAATGTAAAAATGAGTAGTTTTGACATTCTGAAAATGATGAGAAAAATATATTGTGGAAAGAGAGAAGAGAAGAGAAGAGAAGAGAGGAGTTCGAGAGCCCGACATTCGATATTTTTCAACTTTGCTTCTTCTTTTCTTTTTCTTTTTTTTCTATTTTCCCTTGTCAAATCAGATTTTTGTCATCATCTTTGTTCGATCTGTGAATAATCTTTTATTTTGTTAGGCTCGTAATATATAAGGTATTGATCCAGCCCAACAACTTTGATCCATTGAACAACATACCCATTTTTATAATAATACATCCCTATTATCTAAATGAAAAGCCCAAAGACAAAATGGCCCATATTTCATTTTAAAGTCCCAAGTTCAACTAACATACCCATTAATTTTATCACATAACAAACCCTAGTCTTATATATATCATTCTCTGCAACGATACGCAGCGGCAGCACAGCCCCATTCTGCCTCTCGATTTTCATTCTTCTTCTTGTCACTCTCTGCCACGACCGGCGACGTTCTTCTTTTTTGTTACTCCCTGCAACGATCGGCGACGACCAGCCTCTCCCTTCGCCGATCCTTCAGTATTTCGTATTCTTCATTATTATGAAATTAATTGCAAAAAAATTTTTTTAATTGATACCCGACGCGTATTCTATACAGGTACGTTGCTCTTTTACAAGTATCCGTGCGTATCCGACACTTCTAGGATACTTCATAACACATTTTTAACAAGTTTGAACATTGAAATGCAACTTTTTCAACAATAATAACATAATATAATTGTTAAAAAAAAAAAAAGTTTAAATTTTATTAAATGACGGCTAAAGATGCTTATTTTATGCATTGTGAACTGAATTTCTATATTAAATTAATGATTGCATTTAGATTCATAATATTTTTAAAAAATTGACCAAAAATTAATTTATATATATATATATATATATAAACAAAAAATTTTAATTTTTTATTGCCATATCCTACCATAGCCGTATCCTATTTTTTTGAAATTTGCCATATTGCCGTGTCATATTCGTATCCCGTATTTGTATATGTACTTCCTAGGGCTTAATACATAAAGTCTCCGGGCTTTACTTTGATGACATATTGGATGCAACCTAAATCATCAAATTGAAATGTGATAAAAAGTTTTCTTCGAGTTAAATCTACTCTTGCCAATCATATTCGACTTCCCCATTAAAATACATGGGACTCCAACAAATTCATGTATCCATGCTAGTGCAAACACAAGCAAAATATGTAATCCATGTCTCATCAATGGTAATGCAATAGAGGGAAAAAGCCTGGAGGACCAAACAGAGGTTACACATAAATCTTCTATTATAATAAAGCAAAATGCAAAGGAGGAGGTTAGGTTTTATACAATACAAATAATTACAATTATAAGGGGGAAAGTTTTAGGAATAAAACTTCAGTGTTATAATGATGCAGAATGTAAGACAGGTCAGGTTTTGTAACAATACACAACACCAGAATTTACAAGTATACATATAAATGTGGAATGTAGCAAGGCAGGTTTACAAAGTTGTCCTCAAAAACTGTACAACAAAATAGAGAATTGCCAGAAACAGTGCAATTTGGTATGCGTCTCTTTGGAAGCCGTCATCTCTTTGAAAGAACTGAATCACAGAACACGACTTGGCACATCACTAAAAAGAAGAAAATAACCCTTCTACAAACAACAGAAATTCTCCAAATGGAAGGACATTAAAAAATTACTCTTCGGAAACATTTTATAACCCCAAAAATATGCAAGGATCCATTGTGATGCTGTGATGCTTCTTTTCTAACAATGTTTAATATTTACCCTTCTTTAATTTGAATGATGTTAAATAAACATGCAAGAATCTGTTATGATGCTGCAATGCTTCTTTTCTAACAATGTTTAATATTTACCCTTCTTTAATTTGAATGATGTTAAATAAACATGCAAGAATCTGTTATGATGCTGCAATGCTTCTTTTTTCGAACATATTCAATATTTAAACATCTTCATTTCGAATCATGTGAACAAAGCATGTCAAGGAAACAGCTCTTGCTTGTGCAGGACAAGTCATAGCATTAGTAATTTAGTGTGAGTTTGTTCATCACCCGCCTACCCTTCTGCTGATAATCACCCTATACCCTGATGTCCAACCTCCCTCAATCAAAAGTGCTCTGTTCGCTTATTCATCAAGCTTCTGAGATATTCTTTCAACTGAGATGGTACAAACCTGGTATAAAATGTCTGTCACTCCTTAAAGCACTCCCAGTTGGTTAATAATTCGTGCTTGGGCCCCTTAGATGCAAGGTCCTTGAGGACCATGATGGCAGAAGATCAAACCTAAATGTGTATGAGACAGGCCAACCTTTGGCAATGTCTTCTACAAAGCTTTTATACAGGAACACACATTCTCACAGTTGTCAACACAAGTTTTTACCATTGCACCAAATGATGACTTCCTAAGTATGTATTAAGAGAATATGTAAACAAAATCAATCACCAGAAAACAACTCCAATCAATCGTCACAATGCAATAATTCAGTCACTTCTAAAAATTTGAATCTGAATATGAAATGGCTCTTAAGAGGAAGTGCTAAGTAGATAAATTGAATGTTTATAATGGGGGAGGGGTGAAAATAAATTGCTTTATTTTTTAGATCTCTACTGGATCCATTCCAAAAGTTAGGCTTTATAAAGGACCAAGTATACAACCTTTCATAGACGATGTAGGATGAATCTAGACTTCACCACTTATTCTAGGCTTTACATATTTATAACACTTGTATCATTCCTATAATTAAAGCATTCTAGAATTTTAAAATAATTTCAATACTATCCCTTGACTTTGAAAATAAAAAAAAAAAAGAAGAATTTTTTTATGGCAGCAAGTTGCTCCTCAATCTTGCCAAACAATTTTCAGGCAGAAATTTCTCCAATCTCTCAGTTGCAAAAATTTCCATCACCATCTCCATTGTTTGTAGGCCTTTGCATTCTTCTAAGTGCTTTCTAATTCCTGTTTACACGAGCTTCTGATAGGTTTTCATATTTCTTGAACTTTGCATGTTTTCTTAGTTTTCTTTTCACTTGTCCTAACGGCTTAAAAAATATTTCCATGGTGAACATACTATGCCAACAGTATAATTCTTCACAAGTGACTGTGCATGAAAATTATAAATTTTCCTTCATTTCAATATCATGCAACTAAATGTGTATAATTCATTTGAGAGTTTCCTTCATGATATAAAAAAGTTCAATTTTTCACAGCCTCCAGGTCCTCACTGGAACTGTATGCCAAATTGAAATTTCAGATTTGCTGTCTTCATCAAGTTTTGATCTTTCAACATGTTCACCAAATTTAGCATTTTAAACCTTTTCCTCGTTACTTTCAATACGATTTTAGGGTGGAGGTAGCCAGCCCCAAATGGTCTTTCGACGTGTTCACCAAATTTAACATTTTTAACCTTTTCCTCATTACTTTCAATATCTTTTCTTTTTCTAATTTTTCTTCAACTACTTTTCACTTTTGCCTCTTCAATTCACCATTTGCTTTTTCTAATATTTCTCTCTTATTCCTTTTCATTTTCAAAAGGTTTTTCTTCTGAAATCTCATCTTCATTACAAGTTTCTATCCAATATCCAATGGATATGGACTAAATAAATTCATTTTTTTTTCTTCCAATAACCGACTTAGAGATTTTAAAACTTCAATTGCTTCCATACTTCTTGATGTACAGATTTCTTTGATTACTTCATTACTTGTTCTATCTTCTTATCTTGAATTCCTTTTGATATGCCAAACAATGGTAGATATAAGTTTTAGAACTCCAATATGCAGATGTAGCACTTGCTAGCTACCAAATTTTTAACATTTTCTAACTTATCTCTCTCACTGTCTTTTTTCCTGTTGCTCTTTTACAAGCCAATTGCTGGCTTCTGCTTCTCTGTCACATGTAGATTATCTCATAAAATTGAACTAAAATTATGGAGGAGAGGTGGAAGTACACTGGTCTTTTTTAATCTCTGTTGGATTCTTTCCGGAGGAGGTTCTAGTCTCTATGTTTTTCACCCCCTCACAAATAGCCCTTACAAGGCTTACCTAAAAAGGCTAACGGTACAACCTTTTATGGATGCTGTAGGACACCACTTGTGACGGTCAAACTAGGGAAAAAAATGAAAATACATGACTCCTAGGATCCCAAGCACTAGATATCTTAGATAACATTCCATGGTGTATGTTTACTGATGACATAGTTTTATTAGATACTTCTAAGGAAGCCTTTGCGACAAAGTTCGAAACATAGAGAGACTTTAGAAGCAAAAGGCCAGAAAAAACAGTAAAACCAGAACAGAATATATAAAATATAAGTTTGATCAAGTAGCAGAAGATTGTACAAAAATTACAATTCAAAACTAAAGAGTTGCTCAAAAAACTAATTTCGTTATTTAGGGTTATTACAAAAAGATGGTAAGATTGATGGTGATTAGTAAGTAGGATTGGAGCAAAGTGGATAAAGTGGAGGTAAGCTAATTGTATCTTACGTGACAAATGAATATCAAATAAATTAAAAGGAAAATTCTATAAGACGGTTATTAGGCTAACTATATTTAGGAGTAGAGTGTTAAGTGTTAACAACCATATACTATAAAAGCTTAAGAGTTAGAGAGGGTGTAACTTAAATTACTAAATCCTTCAACACGCCCCCTCACATGTGGCCTTCTTTTGATGTAACACGTGTTTCAACTTTAAATCAGGGTGACAGTGAGGTTCGAACACAAGACCTACCATTCTTTGATACCATGTGAACAACCATCTACTCTAAAAGTCTAGCAGTTAAGGATGGTGTAACTTAAATATTTAAATCTTTCAACATTAAGTACTGACAAAGAATCAAGAATGACGCAATCATGTAGTGGAAATGAGGATGCTCCAATGGATGATAGAAGAGATTAGAAGAGATAAGATTAGTAAGCAAGCAAAAAACTAGGAATAACACGTATTAATGATAAAATTAGACTTAAGTGGTATAGTCATATACAACATAGATTTGAAGACACACCGGTTGGAAGATGATGAATGATTTTTAAAAAGTTTAAATATTAGATGAGACATAGTGTATAGTAGTAAAGAATGGAGAAAGAGAATTCATGTGCCCAAATGGATCCATATGGGATAAAGGTGATGATCATGATGATATCACACTCTATGGAACGTTAATTTTTCAAAATTACTTTCCAACACTTTCTTGCATTCGGAAGAGAGTTTCCAACCTAAGATTCTAAGACCCCATTTATATTTTAGATTGCCCACATGTAAATGTCGCCTTTATTAACACAGCTATTTATTTATTTATTTCCGGAAGACTTGAAAGAAGAACCTAATAGATAGATTTCTATATCATTTCAACAAAAACAATCACCAAATATGTTGTACAAGAAGAAAGAAGGAAAGGGTGAAGAAAAAGAAAAGAAACAAAAAAAAGTTACCTTTGTTGGATCACCAGAAGGGTCAGGATAAATCTCCATGTTCTCTTTTTCCGTTGAAAGACGGCTTGTCATGTTCTTAACAAAGTCAGCAACGTCTTTTCCAGCCTGAATTGTAGCAAATAGGCGGCGTGATGTCCAGAAATAAGCCTGAGCAATGGCTGATGATGCCGATAAATCCCAAAACTCTTCATGCTCAATCACTTGGCCACTAATTTGGTTGAGGGTGAATTGAGAATTAACTTTAACTATCAAATCTCCTCCTATACTAGCAAGAAAAGATTTAGGCTTCCCTTTCATTGTCCACTTGATACTCAGCAAACTGGTTGACAACATCACCATTTCCTGCACACTCTGTTAACCAGAAAATTAAAATAAACTTTAGATATTGAATTTTGATGTGAGATAGCTAAATTTACGGGAATGATCACTATAGATGAAAGAATAATGGAGTCAAAGACATAATTTTCAAAAAAGAAAAGAACAGAAAAGAAAAGAAAACTTCTTTATGATAATCCCCCAATTCGAGGTGATAGGAGAGATGAAAGACTGGACATAGATTTAACCTCACAAATCTTTTATGGCACGAAGGGGTTCCCCTCAGATTGGAAATAAGATGGATATAAAATAAACTGTAAACTGGTGTCCTCTACTCATTTCAAGACTTGTAAAAATTTGTTGACAGTATGTGGATCAGTTCAAATAGAAAAAGCAAAGCGGCCTATGCCTGCTGCCTACCACTGCAGCAAACACACACATGCAAATCTTGAATACTGTTGTTGCGGATGTGAAGAAAAAGAAGAATGGATACACGGCACAGTTGTAGTTAACATTAAAAAAAAAAAAAAAAAAAAAAAAATTGAAAATTGCAATGAAAAGAAAAGGATGAAGTAAATATAGATTCCTCACCACGGTGGGTTTTTCAAGAGCAACAGTTGCCCATAATTGTCTCTTGTACTTCTCACGACCAGTAAATCTTCTAACTGGATCCTGCAATTAGTACCGTGACAGAAATGATAACAGCAAATGAGGACTTAAATTCCAAAAAAACAGTATAAGCAAACTAGCAGCCAACAATATCAATGGGATGCAAATTAAGTTTACCAAAACTTTTTTCTTGTCATTGGTACACATCTAAACAAAATTTAGGCCAATTAATGCTAACAAAAGGTTCCCTTTTAATCATATCAAGGATGTCAACAAAAATAAACATTGCACTGAAAGTTAAGCTTTTTCACCACATGTATAGAAGACAAACTCATCTTGACATAACACTAAAAATAGAAGGAAAAGGGAAAAAGAGGAAAAAACAGGAAGTCAAATATTTGTCTAACCAAGTGGCTTTAGAGCCCAGGTCCATTAATTTGACATGAAGAATCTTATTTGTTACCCATTTCACAAATCTGTGCCCATTCAAATATCTCTGTTAAGTGTCTCTGGCACCCAGATTCTACAAATCAAGACTCGTCCAACCACCACAATATCTGAATCACTAGTATTTGGACAATGATGAAGAACCATTGCAGAAATTTCCTAAGTTCAGGAGAGCTAAAATGATTCCCTTATAACCAACATTTAAATAGATGGCCTAACAAAGAGAATGCAATGTTTAAACTCTTTAAATGCCCCTAGAACCAATCTGGCCTTGACTTCCAAGAGAGTGCCCACCAAAGTTAATCTCACTTATCCCTATGACCTTGTACCAGTAAAACATAATTCAAATATATATATATATATATTAATAAGAAAAAAATTCAGAAAGCTAACTTAAAGCATTCCATGCACAAAGCAGTGAGGTCACTGCTCAATTTTAGTCATCAACATTCGTAAACCAACATCATAAAGATATTGTTTAGTAAGCTTAAGAAAAAATATGCATAAATACCTTGTACTTGACAGAAACAGCAAAGGTTCCAAGGGCACGATTCCCTTCCCGAAGCTCTAGGATGTCCCGTGCAAGTTGCCTCGCTGTAGCTTCTACAGACGGGCTGCTAATGCATTCAAACTCATTGCAAAGCTCACCAAAATCCAGACTGTCAACAATCTTATCAGCCTCTGATCTTTCAGTGGTGGGATCAGGACGCAACTCACTCCTATTAGAATCATTGGTAACTGCAAATGTATTGGTTGCAAATCAATTAAATGTTATTATGACGATAAGTTCGATGATCAATCAATCAAAAGAATCAATATGGTCCAAGAGAATATACACATCAATAGTATCAATATACTTGTTATTCCATCCTCCATATTAGGTTTTGAACCCTCGCCTTCCCCGTGGGAAGGATAAGTAATTCCACTCGGACCGGTGGTATTTTCCAAATCAAATTTGAACCAATAGAGAGTATAAGGGGCTTTCCTCATTTGGTTCTCTCCTTTCTTAGAAGTGATCAATAAAATAACTTGAAAAATTAAATAAAAAAGAAGGAATCATTGAATGTAAACCTTGCAATGAAATATGGAGGCTGCAAAGCAATGAAAAGAATCTTTTAGTTCATTGCAAGAGGTGTCAACTGAAAAGCTACCAAGTTATAAATCCTCCAGGTATTAGAAAATTTGGAATCTTGAAACAAGAGGCAAATGCTTTGGACATCATCATTGCATTTGGCATACTAAGTAGAAATTAAATTTATAGCTTGGCTTTTCAAGATTGAGAAACATGGGTCTGAGTAAAAAAAAACAGCCACTACATGAAAACATTACTAAATTTAAGTCAATAGCCAGTCCACCTTTCTCAACACCCCCATATTGGTAGGACTAACACTGCCAATGACTTTTAGGTATTTCTTTCGTCAATTTGTTCAAAATCTTACTAAAAAGTGACGTAGAAAAAGAGAATTAAGGAGAAGATATAATCAAGCATACTTATTCAGTTATTTATACGATAAAATATTGTATTTTATTTTTTTTGATAGGTAAAGATGTACTAAAGAGTGTTCAAAAGGAGAAAACATCCAAGTACAACAAGCCAAACGTGAGAAAGGAAGAAATACAGAAGAACATAAACAAGTGGATTAAGGACCCAAGGATCCTAACAAAAACATTTTATTTTTTATATTGCAACCAAACCCCTTCGCGCTATGAGGAATCTTGGACTCCCGACCCTTTTCAGCTAAAGTCTAGTAGCTTAACCCCCATACCACTTGAGTCCTTGACCAGTAGATCATTGCCTTCATTGGTTATTCTTATATACTTAATACCATCACTTTTGAGTCTTACAGCTTTATAATAGCATTATACACCTGCTACAATCTAATTGCTAAGAAATTCATTGTTCAAATTGGCTCCTAACAGAATATCTTCAACCTCATTCTTCTTCACAACCCATAGTACCACAATTACTGATACATTTAAACATTTATTTTTCTCTGAAGTTCTGTTGTTTAAACAAGGAACAGGGAAGAGGAATCGGCTCATTTTCGTGACGTATGGTTATGCCATGCAATTGAATGGTTCCATTTTGTTTACGATGAAATTGAACCTAAAATTTTAATGCCATATATGAGGCCACAATACAAAAAGAAAAAAGGAAGGCAGTCCTCACCCCAAATGAAAGGAGAAATACACTTCATAGTTATCACTGATGTCATGGAATTTATAAATTGACTCTCATATATGCAATCAATACCCACACTTGAGCCCGATACAAGCAATACCTATGGCATTATTTAACATTAGGATGTTTTCATAGTTGAACGAACATTACCACACTTGGCAGCCCAAGTATCACCAAACAATGGCCTCTTTCGTAGATTGATACATTCAGTTAAATGCAACAGAGTCATGTAACATCCGGCAGGACCGGCACCCTCAAATATTATTGAGAAAGCAAATGAATTCACTTTGAAAAACATTGAAGCTATGTTTTGGGAGCACCCAATCGGCACCTTGGAATTGGAATCAAAGATGCTCCCAAATGCTACACTGATTGTCAATTTTCATGGCACGTCCAAGTCTTCTAGCATGATGAATTGATTGTGCTTCGTTATACATATATATATACACACACATACATACTACACCAATTGGCTGCTACCATGTAAATAATATATTACGTTACATTGTTCAGTAATGATTGACAAAGATGATTAGCAGATGAAGCGTTCATATATATGGCTGAAGAGGAATTTTTTTTTTATATATATATATGTAAGGCACATTTTGATTAGAAATCATAGGGAAAAGGGTAGTGAGCTGTGTCAGTTCTCAGTCAGGAAAACCCAATAAAGAGGAATACTTGAAAATTAAGTGGAAAAAGAGAAACCTCGTAATGAAGATGAGCGGTAATGGGGAGAGGAGGAAGAAGTGAAGCGGCCAAAGAGTCTGCTGGTCCTCCTCCTCCTACTACGGCGGAGATTGACGGTGGCAATGGGGGAGGCTGAAGCAGTGGCCAGAGCAGAGGAAGCAGTGGCAGCTGAAACGCTCATCTCTTACCCCCATTATGCCAAACGTTTGGATTGAGCTCACCCCTCTTTTCATTTCCCCTCTCTCCTCTCTCCTCTCTAACTCTTGGATAAGGTTTTTTCGTTTTGGATTTGTGCCATGTGGTGTGTTTGCTGGACTAGATCCTTCCATGTCAAGTGGGACCCGCTATCACCTGTTTGGAGGACGATGTCATGGCAAATCCCAATCGGTAAAATTAATAAAACACTCCCATTTTAATATTTTTATTTAATCATTTTTGTGCATGCGAAATTTCATCAAATTTATTTTAAGAAACTCAAAATTACTGCACTAGTTCAATTCATTTTAATATTTTTATTAATTATTTTTATTCATGAGCAATTTTATTAAATTTATTTTAAAAAATTTGAAATTATTGTATAATATTACACCACTAACTTTTGATAGTTCAATTCAATTCAGACCATTGAATTAAGAAAATGAGCCGATAAAAGTATAATAATATTATTGTATTAAAAGGAAGATTGGACTCTACCACCAAACAAACAAAAAAACTTAATAAATTTTAAAATTTCAACCTTTCATTTTATTTTATTTCGAAATCCATTGGGTCACATTAAATTCAAACTTGTTTTTGAGATTTCGCGGGGGTCATTTTCTTAGTTTTCTAAGGTATAATGTATTTTGTGTATAAAATAATTTGAGAATTTGTTGTTTTAAGAGGTTTTATGAACAACTATTTTCTAACTATTGAGTTAAAAGTTTATGTTTTGAGTTTAAACTAATTTAATGGAACTAAACCAACATATGTGTGATCCTGTAGATATATATATTTTTTTAAGAAGTTTTTCATGTATACAAGAGAATGCTAAAAGGTGTTGCCTTTTTCTTTTTCTTTTTCTTTTTTTTGTATGAGTTCCTCGGCCTTTCTCTCCCTCCCTCCCTTCCTTTTTAGTCGTTTTCGATTGATTTTAAAAATATCTTTCACGTTTAATGAATTTAGTGGAAAAATAAACTTGAACACTGAAATAAATTATTACGATGAAACCAAGTTTTGTTTTTGATGAAAATTTTAAAAAGATAAAATCGATTTGAGAATGTAAATAAATAGACTTAAAGATTCGCATAAGATAAAACGACTAAATAAAGAAAGATATTACATATCATGAAATATTACATATCATGAACATGATTGGTGAAAAGAAGTGAATAGATAATTTTGGATGTTCAGAGCAAATGCCCTTAGACTATTCCCGATTGCTCATCACTTCAGCTGAATATTCCCTTTGACCAAACAATTGTTGACTCATGGAGTCTCATCACAATCATATAGAAAGATATTTCTGTAATTATTTCCTAGGAAATCAACATTTTCCTACAAAACAAAACAAAGGAAAAAGAAAATAAAATATTTCCTATGATTGAAATCTCTGACAGAGACTCTCAGGCTAATGTAAATTTTATTTTATTTTTTACTTTTTTTGATAATAAAAATGAAGACTCAAAGAAAAGAAAATTGATTTGAAGATTGATAAAAGAAGATATAATGAATGGATAACGAAAATATGAAGGAAGAAGATAAAATAAATAGATAACAAAATAGTGTTACATGTCATTGAACATGATTGGCGAAAAGAAGTGAATTGATAATTTTGGGTATTCATACATAATGCCATTAGACTATTCTCAATTTCTCATCACTTCAGCCGAATGTTCCCTTTGACCAAATAATTGTTGACTCGTGGAGTCTCATCACAATCATATAGAAAGAAAAATTATTTCTGTAATTATTTCCTAGGAAATGAACATTTTCCTACAAAACAAAGGAAAAAGAAAATAAAATATTTCCTATTGATTAAAATCTCTTACAGAGACTCCCAGGAATGGGAGAAGGATTCTAAAGATTGGACACACTGTCACAACACATACAAAAATGATCCTAACAATCTTAATTATGATTTGCCGTATAATTCGATACGCAATTTTTTTTTTTTTCAAATTCAATACGCAACCTATACTAATTTTGTCCGAATCCATTACACCACAATCACGACCGATACTGCGAACCATGATCTTGATATAGTCAAACAACCTATGCCACTACTTAGCTTACCAAATCCCAGCCTTTCAGATAGCTCCATCAATCTGTTTCCTTTTCAAATTAGCAACCAGAGAACTGTGCATCTTAACTTTATGATGCAACTTGCTACCGTTTTATCATCAATGAAAACAACTAAAACCACTAGAGAGAGTGAGAGAGAGGGGGGAGAGTAAAAAAAATCAACAAATCTTTCAAGTTGGAAAAAAAAGGAAGCCTCATAACCACAGAATATTATCAACAGAATAAACAACAGCAAATCATAAAGAAAATTTAAGACAAAGAATGGGGCCAAAAAAATGGACAACTGGATTCTACAAAAGTCCAATTCTACCCACACTAGATAGAGAGGATGATTTCCCAGACACACTAATATAGCCGGGCCCACCCTGGACCACAATAAACATCAATGGCCCTACATAGTTTTCCCAGTGTGTAGAGACAAGAAATCATAAACAGAGACAAAAGCCTAAACAAAAATATGAAGAAAAAAAAAGGAATTTTGATGAGCAAATCAAAGCCAAACTAAATCATCTGCCCTTCATTATTTCCGAGACTGATTCTAGTCTTCTTTCCCAGGCACAAACCTCGGCAATGTCAATAGTGTGTTTATACGAGACACTCCTTCAAGAGCGTACCAATCTTTCCCTGACTCGGTATGGACTTCTTCCTCGTGGTTTGAGGCTTCGTCTTTCCTTTGTTCTGAAATGACCCCATTATCAGTTTGAACAGTTCCAGAACAATCCAGTCCAGTAAGGCCAGAGGGATCTTCCTTCTCATTGCCAATGCCAACTTGTTCCACTGAAACCATATTGGAAGCAGTAGAAAAATTGTTTGGACTCGAATCAAGGAAGAGGCAAACCACAGCACAGTCGTCAACTTTAGAAGTTGGGTATTTGTACCTCCAAGCTCGGACAGCAGACTCAACCACCGCTCTAGCCGCATTGGAACGTGCTGGGGCAGAAGCTACAATGTCTACCACTTCTTTGTTTGAGAGCACATCCCAAATCTGTGATAAATTCAATACAAACTTAAGACCAGGAGAAAAGGGCTATATCAACTCAAAATGCAGATGGTTTAAGAATTTAAGTTGGGTATCTTACCCCATCTGTAGCCAAGACTACAAACTCATCCTTCTCCGAAATACGTCGATGAGAAATTTCAGGCACAGAGATGAGACCAAAATCCTTGAGACAAAAATCTCCAAAAGCACGGGCCATGGCAAGACCAGGGGAGTCGTAGTTCGGCAGCCAAATTCGAGAAACTTCAGGTTCATCCCGAAGGGAAAAAACACGCCCTTTACATTTTCGGATCCTCTCCGCTTCCGCTACAAGGTTACAAGAAGGAAGAAGTTAATAAGTAGATAGAGTATGAAGAAAAGTTCAAGCCCAAGTTTGATTACAAAAATCTTTGTTTCGCATTCCTCATTTAGGATTGAGGATCAAGGAAAAACATTTCACACTAAGAAACCATCACTTAAAGCAATATTTGGCACCAGTTTGTGGTAGTTAATAATTGACATTAATTTTAATAAGACAGCATAACCTAATTTCTCTAGAATCTTGTCCATGTTCGTCATCATTGTCACCGGCACCATATAAGTACCATGCCAACTGCTTATAGCCAACTTCAAGACTCCTGTTTTCCAGTCCAAATCAACTAAAATATATCATCTATAAAATTCATGAGCCTTACACATACAATCACCTTACAACATTTCCAAAATTGCCCCCCTAAGCCCTTTTCCTCGTTTATAAACCAAAGTTTTAATCTGAAGTCTGTACAATGTACAATTTCCCTTGTGAACATATTGCAAGACAACCAAAACAATTTTACTTGGCTTCCCTTATGCTGTCACGTGCTTAATATAGTCTCCGGTTTTCTGTGATTTTTTATTTTGACTTCTTTAACATGCCAAGCCTCACCACAATTGCATGGTTTTCCTAATGTTATCACCTACTCGAGCTACTCTTCAATCGTATTAATTCTTTATTTTAATTGTTGTTATCGTGCCACCCCTTCTGCTACAATATAATCATCCATATTTAATTTTAAATGCCTTCATTAATCTTCCTACTTCAGATTCAATAATCACAGCTAACCTGTTGTTGTTTACAATTATTTTAATCAACTTACAAATTTTGTAATGCCAAATAACATGCAGGAGAAATATTAGCCGACATAAGCATCCACTGACTAGTTAGTCTAGTTTGATAGGTTGTCTTGTCTCAGTTACACCACACTGAGCTCTGTTTCCACACCAAGCCATTCACAATATAGTACAGAATGAAAATGGGATAAGGACAATGTTAAAGAGATTTAATGATATCTGAAAGGACAAAAAGTAAAAAATAACATTCAGAATCTTGCCAATCAATGACAAATTGAACCTACAAGATATACAAATATAAGTGTGTAAACAAAATTTCTGGTATTTGTTCTCATCAGTAAAGTGCAATTGTGACTATATGCCAAGGTTATGCAAAGCAACTGACCAAGGTGATGCCAAGGCAGACCCTGAAACAATTGAAGGATTCCATGGTTTTCCTGTTATAGTCTATCTTAGGAGAGCTCTCTTTTTAATCTGGATTCAGAAGGCTAAAAATTGCAAGCAAAACAATGACAAGAATAACTTGAAGAATGGTGTCTGGGTGGTCTTCATATCTAATATAAAAAAATTTGACAAGGCAAACACCGGTCCATACTTCAGAAAGCACATAATCATGCATTAGACAGTGTGCTTGTACATTTGTATTTATATATTCTCAACAATGTACATCCGCTGCTAAGTGTTTCCGGTCATACAAGTCTAGGTTCACATATGTAAATATGAAGTTGCATAAATGTAACTTCATCATATAATTAAGATCCAGAGAAGAAGCTAGGAAAAATATGACATGTGTGATATATATACACACATACATATACAGATAGGAGAGATACCTGGAAGATTTGGTTTTAGATCCACCGTCAACTGAACTGCCACAAGAGAATCATCTTTATCTCTCGTACCCAATACAGCTCTAGAGTCACCAACATTTCCAATCACAACATCCTGACCCTGTACAACAGAGTCAATACTTTCATGGTTCAGAAGAAAATATCATAACATCATATTGGAATCAAATTTTAATTTTTATCAGTCAAAATACCTGTTTCACCAGTATTACTGCTGTAGTCCCACTGCAGAAGCAATCAATATTCGTGTACATTCTCAGTTCCTTGTCCATAACTTTAAAAGCTTTCAGAAATGACTCTTTCAGTGTCTGAAATATCTCCGGGTGCTTTTCTTTTTCTTCAACATCAATGGAGGCCTTGGATTCCGCATCAGAAGATACAAAGGAAGTACCTTCAGAGTTCATGCTACCTGTGTTATTAAGGTTGATCTTTTTGAGGACATCATCGCTCTTTATATTAACTTCCCAGTGTGCACTTAATTTCAAGGGCAGAGAATCTCTCACTCTCTTTGCAACCATATGACCATAGGGACCGTGGCCATCAAAAACACCACAAAAGATACTGTCTGTCCTTGAACCAAAATTCTGAAATCCAATTTTCACAATTAGAAAATAAAACTTTATCTTGCAAGCAAGATGAGCGAATAGTAATACTGGAACTAAGGAGAAAAAAGAAGTAGGACAAGATGGTGAGACAAGCACACATTCATCTGTAATTCTGTATAGATATCATCATCTACATCCAGAAAGCCGTATGCTTTGGAAGAAGCTTGTACAGTTTGGGAAGGGGTTTTGATTGATCAAAAAGAAGAATCTACTTCAACCTACATGCCCTTAGGCACGGCCATATGTTGGAGAATATCATAACATAGAAATCACTTTGGAAAGGGAGGACAATTAGCTAGAGCAGCTAAAAAAAGAAAAGAGAATACTTCGTTGGTGTTAACTGTGTGTCCAAGAAATTGTGAAGATAAAGACAGCTTTTGTGAACATCCAGCTTCAAAAATGTGCACAAACTAATGAGACTGAGGATTTACAAATAATAATAATAATAATAATAATTTATCTGACATTTCCCTTTAGTAGAATTTAATCAACTCTACATCTTTTTAGTCTACATTCCTATAAGTTTTTTTACACACAAAAAAAAAAAAAAAAAAAAAAAAAAAAAAAAAAAAAGAAGAAAAAAGAAAAGAAAAAAGGGCATTATTCATCTTTGAAACTTATTCATCTATAAGGCTTCCAATATTTCTACATATCTTTAATGCACAATCCAAGTTGATGTGCCATTATATAACTCAGCGCAACTCAACAAAAAGGAATGTTTTGAACACTCGTAAAAATTAACAACAATAACTTTGTGATTATAGAACCTTGAGTTATATGATGATGAAGGTGGGCCGATTCTTTCTTTGCTCAGACACAAACATATGAGCAAAAAAATAGGATAGACACAAAATTGAAGTTCAATTTTGCACTTTGAAGGCATATTTGGCAAAACAACTGAAAAAAATAGGAGAAATTATTACATGTCCCGGGCCAATCACTAGCCGACACGCAAGCAAATGTGTTAGTTTTGTGTCAACTTTATTCACCTTTTTGCATGCATGTAAACTAGTGATTGGTCGGGATCAATGGTCACGGGGCCGTGTAATAATTCCTCGAAAAAATAGATAGTATCCTGAAAGAAAAATAAGACAATAAGTGCAACTAATTTAAAAAAAAAAAAATTCTTGATGATACAACTGTATAAGAAAAAAAGATAAAAGAATAAGATAGTATGTTGCTTGAATACTTGCAAAGGTTGATAAGAGATTGAATTAGATTTGAAATATCAGTAAACTGACATCAAAAGCTACAAATAATTGCAAGCCATTAGTCAACATAACAGTAATTTTGGGGTAAAGACAGGTATGAAACTTTGTGGTCAGTAATATTAACACCATGGAAAATTCTAAAATGCTTCGTAACAAAAGAATAAAAATCCTAGACAAGGTTAGTCCCTCAAGTTCTGTGTAGGCCGCACCAATTGCAAAGAAAATTTAATCTCTCACACCCAAGCAGCACAGTATATGTAAATCTAGCAATCATCAAGAATCACCATTTGGATAAAATCATGCATAATAAGAAGGGGTGACAAAAAGCTAACCTCCCAAACAATCATAGCATCTTGATTGGTCCCTTTTCTGCCTTGCTGAGTAAAGAGTGACGCGACTTCGCTAGACCCATTCAAGAACAATCGGCCCTGAATTCTATGCAGCTGTTCTTCCCTCCTATGGTCAAATGAAGAACTTCGAGACCCCGGTCTTTTCCTTGAGCTCTTCCTCTTCTTCAGCCCCAGGGCAGGAGAACTGGGGAGAGGACTCCTGCCTTCAGCAGACAAGCAGGACCCCATCCTGAGGGCCCTGATAATATTCAGTAGGCAATCCAGACCAGCCACACAATCACACCCTCTAATTTCAGTAGAGGGAGCCGTCGCAACAATGCCAACAAAATCCTTTATAAACCCTTTGAATTTCACAGCCTAATTGTCAAATAGAACACCAATTCAATCAAATAAACAGATTCTGAAATGATCTAGTTACACACGCCTGAACTCAATCCCCAAATCATTCAACCCAGAACAATTTTAATAGCCTGACAAGGATTGAAACACACACTACATAATTATTCCAATCACCACCAACTTTTTTGCCCTTTTCAGTTCAATAATCACAACGATATTATAAAGTCAAAAAGACACAGAGCATAAAGAGCATACACACACACACACACATATATGTCTATTGAAACTCTGCCTTTTCTATTTTGTAATTGCAGAATCCAATTGCTTTGTCTCTCTCTTCCCACTTGCGAAAATCCCCTTCAATGGACGCAAACCGAAATGAGAATACCAAACCTCAAAAACCACGGAATCAACGAACCTTTAAGCAAACCCTCCCTTTGCTTGCACGCATAATCAATCACTCGAACTTAATTTGCAAACTCACACAAAATCCCAAATTCTTCGTCAAATTCGACAAATAAAACTTCAAAATGAAACCAGAGCACCAGATCCAACTCGAATCAATCCACAAAACAACACACAATCGTATCGAAATATGCACATACCCTAGTAGAAAAGAAAGGCTGAGATCGAGCGAGGGAAACGCGGCGATGGAGTACAGGGGAGTTTTTAGAGAGAGAAAGTAGAGAGATAAAGTGGCAGAGAAAGGCAGCTTCTTTCTCTCCCTGTTTTGTGTGAATTGAATTGAATCGTCCTAGACCATGCCCGTCTCTTTCAAAATTTGAGATCCTAATAGCAACAACTATATAACAAATACTAACAGATTATTGCTATTATCTTCGCAAGATTAACCAGAAAACAAAAAAAGGAAACCCTATAAATTACGTAGGATTGAAATGAATATATATACTATTATATATGCAAGTGTGTGTGTGTGTGTGTGTGTGTATATATATATACGTATGAGAAGTGGATGAGAAGGCTGTAGCTTTGAAGGGCTTTGAGCTTGACTTGACCTGATGGTGTGGATGATTGTGATTCTATTACTCCTTTTTTTGTCCCTTTTGATTTTGATTTATTTTCTCTCTTCTTCCATTTTCATCCTTTTCTGGTAAGTTTCACTCTCTTTACCCTCACCACAGTTCTCTCTCTCTTCTTCCATTTGCGTCCCTTTCAACATTGCTCTTCCTTGAAAAACAAATTTATATTTTTATAGTATTGAAAAATAAAAGTGAGTATAGTATTTTGTTAAAAAATTCTTATTTTGAAATTAAATTGTCTTTTATAATTTTCTCATAATAATTTTTTATTTTAATTGTGTGTGGTAAATTATATATATATATATATATATATTAGAGGACAATTATTAGATAATCGAATCCTGAATTATTCATATTGTGAATACATTGCCAAAAGAGGATAGCAGTTAATTATAAGTTGTCTAAAAACTTAAATTAGGATTTTATATATATGTGTGTGTGTGTGTGTGTGTGTGTGTGGAGCCTTATGCACTTGAAACAACCTAATCCGAAAATGGATAAGACTGCATACATTTTTATTTTTCTCTTTTATCTTAGAACTGACAACAAAATCACTGCAAAGAGTTTACTTATATATATATATATATATATATATATATATATCGGATTGAAAAGTTTCAAATTCGCCATCGATATGTTATCCCACAGATCGGATCTATTAAATGACAAATCGAATCGAATTGAATTTGCGAACTAAAGTTTTTTTTATACAGTCCAATATTATTTATTTTTTAACCATAACCCAATAGATAAAATTTATATTTGTTACCATTAATTTTTATATTTAACTAATATATTTATAAAGTCCATTAAATAATCATCAATTAATTATTTATATTTTTTAAATAGATATATATATATATATATATATATATATCACGAATCGAATTTTAAACAGTCTTATCCGTGAGTTACAAATTTAATTGATTCAATTCGCCACCTATTTTTGTGTAACAATTGAATTTATACATATAAAACTGGATTGGATTGGATCGGATCGAATTCGCAACCCCTAATACTATGTCATTAATTTTTTGTCAATATGTGTCGCTGTTATCTTTTTGTTTACAAGCTTGAATCTATACCGTCATAATTTTGTAAATACTTTAGGTAAAGAGTTTTCAATGTGAATTGAAAATGACAGCTGGGATGCAAAATTCAAGATTTCTTGTCATTTTCTTAACAATTTCATTAAATAAGAATTACATGTTTTGTGCCACAATTTCCGTTGGCTTCATTCTCAAAAGACTCTAAAGCATGACAGTTTTAAATTGTTTTTAACAATTCAATATTGATAATTATATTTGTCAATAAATTCACACAACATTTTATAGAGCCTCCATCTTCTATATTGAAATGACAAATCACACCTTACCATTAGATCGAGTGATAAGAAAACTATCTTCAAAGGTTTGATGCTTAGTTGACCCTATTCAACTAGGATTATCAATGAAAGTGTTCCAAGTTACTATTAAAGAACTGTTTTTACTATCTATATTGGTGTCAAAGATGGCCAAGTTAGCACAATTCAACTTTTCCCAAAGATGACCAAAGGCCCCTAGTTTAATCATATGATCTGGCCTCTTTAAAATGGAGGAGGTAAAGAGTTCGAGCAGGGACATAGAGTGAATAATTAATGAATAATGAATATGTATTTGTTTTTAACATTTTTTAATTTTTAAAAAAAAGGTAATTTCAAAAGTGTGGACTTTTTATATTTTTTACTTTAAGATCGGTTGGAAAAACCTTTGGCATCCTTGCATTCGTAAATAAGTTAGGGAGTACGGACACTTCTACAAAGTCTGATTACTTATATCGTATTTGTATCGAATACCGACACTATTCGAATACTCGCAGATACGTATCTGATACTTTTTAAACGTATTTATAATTTTAAATTATATGTAGTATATTTTTATTTTTAACACATAACCGATACTTCTCATATACTTCGACCACGTATTTGATACTGTTCTTGGGATGGAGGAAGTACTTTTCAAATAATTCAAAACACATTTTAAACAATTTTTGAGCTTAAAATGTAACTTTTTCAACAGTAATATGATAATATAATTGTTAAGAGAAGTTCAAAATATATGATTAGGTATACTTGTATTATGTTTTGTGAAACGAAAGAGTATCTTATATTAATGATTGTATTTGGATTCATAATATTTTTAAAAATTGACCAAAAGTTAATTTTTTTAAATATATAAATATGATTTATTATTTTTGTACTGTCGCATCTTACCCGTACTATGTTTATTTGAAATTTACCTTGTCACCAGACCCGTATTATGTCTTATCCATATCTATGCTTCCTAGTAAAAATGAAATTTTGTGTTCTATCTAAAAGAATGTGTTTACAAATAAGAAAGTTCCTCGTTTACATCAAAAAAAATGACCCGGTTAGGTGAGAAAGTGTTAAATATCCCAGGGAGTATGTTTCCCCAGGCAATGACAATCCCTGGATCATGAATGTGGTGGTAGGCCTCACCACATTCAAGGACTAAAATGACACTTAGGTATCATATCCCAGAGTATTTAATACTTTCTCCTGATTTGGTGAGATGGTATCCTCACATTGACTACTGATTGTAGTTTTGGTAGAAAGAGAGGTTATAAGATGAGTGGTGGATTGATTTTGTGCTTTAAGTTTTCTTTTTCTAATTAGACAAAGAAGGAAAGTTACACTTGGTGATATTAAAGTGAAAATGTTATTGTCACCTTTCAAGCATGATATAACTTGATCTTATATCACCTATCCAGCATGATATAAGTTAACCTTGTGGTTAGTGATATAAATTGACAATTGATTGTAATTTTTGGCTGGTATATTATAACTTTTAGCCACGGTTATCACTGTTGTTATAAGCTACCGCATGCGGTTCTGACTGCAGCTAAAAGTAGATTTTGTTATATTGCAATTAACTAAGTAGAGAAAGAAATACATTCTCAAAATAATTGTGTTATATAACCAATTTTAAAGCCCCTGTTCGAAAAAGAATTATTTTCATTCAATTGGACCCTGTTACAATTTTTCTTTGCGTAATAGGTGCAGCTACTACCTAGTGAGATAGTCGCCCAGCTCAGTGGGTGACTCATCCGTGGGTCTCTCCAATTTCCAAACAACACATGAAATTTACAAATAAAAATATAAATAAATTAAAAAAAATAAGAAGAAAGTAATGAGACAATCGCTAAATGAGACAGACAATCGTTGTTAGCAAAGCTCAAAAGTAAAAACAGAAAAATGACTTAATAAGGTGCGAGGGGTGTGACAAAAACTAACGGAGTTGTGACTCGGCATTTGCCTTTCCTGATCGATTGAAAAATTAATTACAATAACAATAGTCTGATTAGTTTTTCAACTAATCACATCTTTTAGAAATATATAAACAAATTATTCAACAAATTATTATTTTAAATATTGTTGTTGTTGTTAGCTAATTTATGAACCCCGTTGTTGTTGTGTGCCTTGGTAGCTAATTTATGAACCCCATTGAACATTAAACTTGGTCGACTTTTAGACCAACAAACAAAAATATATGGTGGGGGCATACTGAACCATACCAAGACATCTACCCTCATTATTGCAAGGACATTTTGGTCTATATAACCCACAACAATTTCCCATTACAGCATTTCAGCACATTTATGTTGAAGATGTAACTAAATACATGCAAGTCAAAGAATATAATCCTCATTCTTAGCCTAGCCCACAGTGACTTCCCAACTACTCCAAGTAGGTTACTTGTTTCCTTCTTGACCTCTAAAAGTCATCAATATTAATAAATTAATCAAAATAATTGTGGGAATGTGTCAATTAGGCGTGCTTTGTTGCCGGTTTATGGACAAGCTTTATTATTGGTGTGGGAGCCTTCTGTAACGGATTTGGACATTTCCAAGTTCACATTACACACATTGGTGTAAGCGTAGTACTCGTAATACTCGGTTCAAGCCATCTATCCTTCCTTAACATTTAACCTCTAATCCATTGCCAGGCCACCAAAAATAAAATAAAATAACTCTTTATACATCTTTATTAGAGATTTAGTATAATCCCACCAAAATCATGCTAGGGAAAAGGATTAAACTCTTATCACCAAAAAAAATAAGTAGATAATAATCGAATTGGAGACTTAGATTTAAAATTGAAAAAAATTTATTTAAAATTTTAAACTAAATTTTCTTTCAATTTTAAATTTAAAGCACCATTTTGCTCCCAAATCCAACGTCAGGTTTATTTCTCAAGCCCATTTATTTAGTCTAAGGGGTTTTAAGGCATCGAATGTTGCGCACAGTGTCAATTAATACACATGAGCTTCAATTTGTACATGAGAGCCCAGCTTACAGTGGCACATCACAATTGACTACATGTACTCCACTTTCTAATTTTAATAATTGAAATGACATGTTTACCTTACATTTTTTAAATGAAGTTTACTAGATTTATTTGAAAAGATGGAACAAATTGAAGACAAAATAGTTATTTCAAATGCTATATTTAAAAAGTGGAGTGTCACGTGTCAGTTGTGGAATGTCAATATAAATTTTTTAAGTGATAATTAAAAAATAAATATTTTTTTATATATTTTTTTAATATATTTTTTAAAATTTTATGTCTGTTATTTAAAATTTTATTTCATTTCAAGTAACCCTTTAATGTTTTTTATTTCACAACTAAACTTATTGGATGACCATCCCATTTCTAATTTTTTTTTTCTCCCTTAAAAAATCAACTTCCCAAAAAACAACCATGTTCTAAGTCTAAAAAAATAACCACCACGACCACTGCCATCCACCACCACCGCCACCGCCGCCGCCATCTTTTTTCACTACCAATGCCTCTATTGCTTTCGACCACTACCACTGCCACCATTATTATCACCATGTACCTCCACCATTATTGTTGCCTTTCACTTACACCACTGTTGCTATCACCACCAACACCACCTCTGCCATTCCCGCCTTCCACCACCACCACTACTTCCATCACCACCACCACCTTCCATCACCACCACCTACACCATTGCTGGTCTTCCACCACCACCACCACCATCACCGCCTTCCACTGCCGCCACCATTTCTTTAAAAAAATTATACAAGATTTTTATTTTTTCAAGGCAAGAAGTGTTAAAATATATATATATATATATATATATATATAGAAGATTGTCCTTTTGTTAATTTAATTTATTTGTTGAGAGGAGCATTTTGAAGGATTCAATTTGAATTTATTATATTCTAGATTTTAAATTGGTCTAACAAATGTGATATATTTTTTTAGACATTCAAAAATAAAAAGATGAATAAATATTTTGGAATGGAGAGAGTAGTAATTTAAAAAAAAAAATAAAGTAAACCAGTTTTGTTATTTCTCTATTTTGATACGTAATTTTGAAAGCCCGAACACGGTACCTCAAAGAATTGAGTTGAAACAAGCTCGGCTCGCTCTGAGCCCATAATGGGCTCAACTATAGCTTGCGAGTCGAACACAAGCCATAATATTCAATATACGGTCCTCACAAGCCAAACCCAACTACCCAAGCCTCAAGTCAGGTCTATCTATAGCCATAAATAATCAAATACTGCAACTTATTGATTTAGACAACATATAATAGAAAAATGAACCTATACTTCAGCACAACTATTTTATCCACAGTTTAAAATTAAAATGCAGAAAATTAAGACCTCTTAGATTTTCTTCAAAGGTGACCATATATGCTCGGAAATCATAAATAATTGTTAATTATATATGATAACAATTTCAGTAATACTAGTAAGGTCAACTTCAAGAACTCTTTTCTAAATTAACACATTTTAGACATAATAATAATAATAATAATAATAATGCACAAATTGTACTTGTCATGTGACCAATATTAAAGTGATCTCATTGCAAATAAAAAAGAAAAAATATATATAAATAACTCAAAAAAATGTATCAATCCAATAATTAAACATAGACTTCATGACCTTTGTCACAAGAGATCTCTTAATAACATTACTTTAATTTATTTTGGTCAAATGAAATAAAAAAAAAGAAAAAAAGAAGAAGATAATGTAGACACTAGACATATTAGTAATTCATGTGATCTAACTGTAAATGAATTTTGGCAAAACAATAAAATTATAGTATAATTCTTATATAACTCTCTCAAATGATTAATGCATGTCTCAATATTTATACATGATTACGATAAATAGACAAAGACAACTCACGGTATTTCTTTTGAAGTTTACGAATCGCCCTTATAATAACATTATTTTTATGGATATTAAAGAAAAGTGATTGACTTTGTTGTTATTTAATTATAACAAAAATTTTGATGACAGTGCTCTTTCAATCAATTTGCATTGAAAGATTAATTATAGATGGTTCAGAGATTCTCCCATGTGATGACAGGTTTTCTTGTTCCCCTTATTGTGTATTTCCGTGGCATTCCAATGTATAACTTGTATGATCTCTGTCTCTGTATATATATATATATATGTATGTATATATACACACACACATATGCATGCATATACAGGGTGGCCAAAATCCACATATGCTGTGGGTTCTGGAACATTCTTCATTATGAGCTAGACATTTTTATGTGAAATTGAATTGAGCAGCCGGTCAAAGGGTCACATTCACAAACCAAATCAATTTGGCTTATTAGCCTCCCTCATTTTCAATGTGGGACGGCTATTTTTACTGTTACAGTGTCTTTTCATACACAAAAGTCCTATCACAACACTTAAATGAGCATTTTCCTTTTCCATAGATTACTACTTTCTTTAATCCTATTTTAACTTTAGACAGCATCCTGCCAATCTTTCCACCTTAAATTATTCAAAGTTTATACATATATACATATATATATATTCTTAGTTTATATACATATATACAAAAACTTGATCCAACCATTGCTGAAGTCTCCATAACTATTTTTAAAGTTTTACTTCCCTGTTCCTTTCCTCTCTCAAATTATATATTTAAGTTAAGAAAATGATGCAAAGTCTGAATTCAGATGTGTCCCGTGACATCATATGGTGGGGCCCATAAGAACCCCTATGGCCAAAATCATAAACTAATATTTGGGAGCATGGAATTAGGATCCAAGAGATATCTCATTAATATATAATTATTGAAAGAAAAGGAGAAACAATACTACTTGGGTATAAGAGCTTTGACTCAAATAATTTACTAACCTTTTTTGGTAAATAAATTTTAACTTCACCTTTTCAACTTGAAAGCTAACAACATAGAACATTTATTTGGGAACCAATATTTTAACTAGATTACATAAATTATCAGGGCAACAATGATGTTACAAAAATATAATAAAGCTTATCATCATATATAGAATTTTCACTCCATTTTATGTTTCTTGATAAATTCTAGAGTTCTCATTTGGTGTTGAAGAGTCACCAAGAAACTCTGACCGCAACTGCATTAGTAGCCTGCCTAGATAATTTAGGCCTTCTCCTTCGCGGCCTCCACCCCAGAAGAGATCATGCGGTGAAGCTTCAACAAGAACAGCCCCCGCAGTTGAGAGCAGCATCGAATTTAAATGAGGATATATCGAGAACTTACATTTCAAGGCCCTGTACATAACATCAATCTTAACGGACTCCCAATCAGATCTTATCTGCATCGCACACAATAAGAAGTGCATCAGATTGCTTAGAATTTGTAAGGAATTGATTTCAAAATGAATGTATCCCAAAGACAATCAATATTGTTGTAATGCTGGCATGTCAGTCTTTTTGCACACACAACGCGAAGAAAATGCCGTATGATGGTTCACCTAGATCCAAGAAATCAGCATCAACAAAAGAAGAAAAAAGAAAAGGTAGAACAAACTTTCATGTTTAACATGGAAACACAATACGTTTGGAGCATGAAGTTTGAGGCCAATATGCATCACACTTAATAGTATTTGAAAGCCATACCAGATCAGGGTGCAGCCTCTGCATTTTCCTTCCCATTCGTGCCGCTTCCTCGGGACTTTTTGCAGATCTTATGTCTTCAACACATTTTCTTGCTACATGATCATGCACTCCCACAAATTTGTGCGCCTGCATTTTGAAGAAAACTTTTGACAGCGTCTTCACAAAAGTTCTGACAAGCAAATAGAAATGGCAGAGACAGAAAGTAACCTGGTAATAATGCTCTACACTTGACCAGGAAAGATAATCACCACTTTCATCAGGCAGCATCAGAATTGGATGAGGAGAGAAGTTTGAGAAAGATCCATAAGGATCCCATGTTTTATAGAAGAATATGATGCTTGAATCATAAGGAGTGACGGTTGGATCAATTGCAGAAGTTTCTTCCACTGATGGTATGACAGGTGTCATGTCTGGAACAGGCTGAAGAAATCCGCTAATAAGTATGTCGGGTCCTATCTGCCAGACACGAGTCAGAAGTTACCAATTACACAATCCTGAAAAGACAGAAAACTTTGCACAATGGAACATGTGCATTAAGTTTGAATCTTGTAGCTATTCCATAAGAGTGAACTTCAGCTATTGTTTCAAAGTTTCAGTAGAAAATGAGTACGATCTCTATCGCATCAGAAGCACATTACTGCATTAGAAGCACATAATGGGCCGATGAGACAAAAGTTTGCCTGATTTTCATGGTAACTGATGCAAGGGTAATAGGAAGACAAGATCCAGACAATTACGTGTAATAACCAGAACTTCCAACTGCTAATTTATACAAATTACAAAGACGAATTTGGTAAAAAGACCTAATCGACTGAAATTAGTACAAGAATAACACGTACCTAACTGGGATGAGGGAATAAACTCTATTGGGTTATCCCAACACAGCAACTATATAAGGGAAATAGGTTATTACCTATATAAAAAATTTATTTATTAATGTGCGTGTGTACTTATGAGTGTGCAAGCATTTTGCACAGGTTCTTTCGTGGGCTCAGATAAAACAGAGAGAATTCTAGATTAATCCATGTTACAAAGTTTTGCATGTGCACATCGAAAGCTAAGTACAAAAAATCAAAGCTTCCAAGTTTTTCCCAGTGTTGGAAATGGTATTTAAAACAATACATGGTAACATAAAATGAAAAATATAGATTGCAGGTAGATTTAGCATATGGAGATAAACTATAATACATAGGAATACGGGGACTTTTGATGCAAGGAGAATAGTACAAGCAGATAAACTAGTAACTTCAAACCTGGCATTATGAAGATGTTGCCAATGTAGAAAAACTTTCATTACAACTAGGAAATAAAAATCAATACCAACCTGCTCATAGCAGATATCAACTAATTCCAAAGCTTGCGTCATCTCAACCATCCCAAGTTCACCAACTGGAGATGGCGCATTCTTTCCACCAATAATTTTAGGAGCCACAAATGCATACACCTGCATCAATATATCAAATGTCTCATTATGTAGTAACTCCTGACAACAGCCAACAAAAGTACATATTAGGTTAGAAAGAAAAGGGAATTAGCTAAGCTTATATGATGCCTAAATAATTAAAATTGTTTCATGCCTAAAGAATTTAACAAAATAGCAAAATTTCGTGAATATATAATTTCTTTCCATTTTTTTGTGACTGTAATTTAACAAATTTGGCTCTCCATATGGCTGTAATTTCTTTCCAGTCATGAAATAATGTTATTTTTGACCTTGACATGTTTTAAAATTACATTTGGAACCCGTCTTTTAAAAAAGAATTATAGCAAAAAATACCCTGTCATGTCCCTATCATGTCCAACCAAAAAAAATTTCAACCACACTCCAGGACGGACACGTGTCTGGCCCTTGGACACGCATGTCTGTCCGACACTGCCACAGCACCCCCAAGGGGAGTGTCTGTGCTTTAGAGCTTCTCATCTATCGAAGCAACATTTATTCCTATTCATTAATTAAATTATGCTGTAGCGTACAAAAAAAGAAAAAAAGGAAAAAGAAAAAGAACTGATGCACATTAACAAAGAAAAGACCGACACATACCTTGTGTATGACACCAGATGAAATAGCAGATGCAGCCAATGTTCCTCCACACTCCCATAAAATTGAAAGGTAACCACGATCATACAAGTATTCCATAACATCTTTAGGATTTAAGATGTCAAACTCCACTACTTCAACACCTTTGGATGCAAGAAATTTCTGGAAACTTCTCCTAGCGCCTCTTTGGGTTGCAACAATGGTGGGTACATCAGCAACATCCCAAAGATTAGCTACCTCGGGAAGATTTAGAGTTTGTGACATCACAATCCGCATGGGCAAATGGCCACCTCCATGTCTTGCTGTTAGTCGTGGATCTATATTCCAAAGAAAAATTAGAGCAGGAATGCAGGATTTAATAATATCTTGATTACCAGCAACTGAAAAGTAACAGGGGTTAAAGAAAATGATGACGACGACGATGATTCATACTATCCCTGCGTACAGTATTTCCTCCTACAATAATGGCATCACTTCTACCCCGCAATTCAAAAACTCGAGTTCTCGATTTTTTGCTGCTTATCCATGATGCATGCCCACTGCTGGCAGCAATTTTTCCTGTCAGCATCCAAGGAAGCGATCAGTAATAACTCTAAACTGAAAATTCTAAGACCCTCACAAGAGCAAAAGGCCAAAAGATCATTTTTGTCAGATGAACTTTGGAACATGAAATTCTTCTTAAATACAGAATGCTCACCATCAAGGGTCATTGCATACTTGAGAACAGAGAATGGAACTCGAGAAGCAGCTCTATAAAGCAAAGGAGCATTGACTAAGAGGCAGGACTTCAGAGCTTCCTAAAATATAGAATCTAAAATGTTAGAGAAAATACAGTGAGAAATTTTAGACAAGTTAAAATATAACTCAACAGAGATTAGCTGAGACGGCTTTTGTATGATGAAGATAAACATGCCATATTCCTACCTTCTCCCAGCATAATCTTTTGTACGGATCACGTCATTCTTGTTGGCGCAATTATTGGTCTTCATTGCATATAGGTAAACCGTCTTAATCGATTTTTCTCTCATTTTATCTCCCATAAATACAACTTTCATAATGTCACAAATTAGTTAATTTTTAATTTAATCTTTTCTTGTCTTACCACTCATCCATCTCAAAATCCATATTTTCAGTCATTCCCAATATTTTATGAATATATTGTTTCTATAGCCAACGTTTCATCCTATAGAATACAATTGGTCTAATAGTTGTTTCATAAAATATACTTCTCAATTTTAGAGATATTTGTCGATAACACAATATGACAAAAACACTCCACTTAACCATGTATTTATTAAATATATGTGCAAGACCATGTCCATTCTCTCCCTATGTAAATGAAACAACTCAGCTTTTAGAGTTCTCTCAACTTTGGATTTTCATTTTTCACTACATTCCCACTTGTATTCCTAATTTTGCTAAAGTTACATTCCTAAACTCATATTCAGTTTTACTGTCTAAAATTCTCTTGATTTTAAAGCTTCTATCCTCAGCTCTAAATTAGCAATTATCTCAACTTAAGTTTCACTAATAAAAACAATATCATATGTTACTACAATTTTCCTTCAAAGTAGCCATAACAAAAACTTAAAAAAAAAAAAAAAAAAAAAAGCTTTAAAAAAAATAATAATAAAACTACTCAGTGATTTCAACGTTTATAGAAATAAAACAAAAAACTCTCATCAATCAATGCGTGTTTATATATATGGGTGTGTCTTTTTGCACTAAAAAAGTTAGATTGACTTTTTGTTCTACTAAAAGGTGCAAAATAGGATCATATTTCTTGTCTCTTATGAAGTGAAATTTCTATATTACACTAAGATAGTTATTTGATTTAGCTTTCAAAAAAAATTTCCTAATAAATTAAAAAATATTTTCTTATAGATCTATAATTTCAACAGTAACTCCACAAATCTATAATATATGGCACTGATCACTCATTTAACTCCAAGAAAATGACCTCTATTTAGAACCTATATACTTAATTACCAACATCATGCCCACTATTGATATCTGATAGAATTAGTATTTGACAATAAATAATAAATTTGAAGAAAAAAAGTCAAACAGCTATATGCAATGATCAGAAAAATTATGTAAGAATCCATCAAGGATCCATTATGCACATTTTTTTCAACAATAATTCCATGCAATAAAGATGAGGAAAATGTGGCTTGAAAAAGCAATCTAGGATGAAGGATAGAATATGGATCCCACGTGCAAATTTTAATAATGAAATCAAAAGAAAGCATGTGATATCTACAAGTTACAATTAGTAAGTGCAATGTGTTCTTGATAGCCTGTGACTTGGTTAAAATAGACCAGAAAGAGAAACACGTGCGTAAATGAGGACAAATACTTGTTGTATCAAGAAAACCCAGATATAAAAGCCTTATTACCTCCCGTTAATCAATCCACTCTCTAAATGTTTTGTGACTTCTTAGTTACCAACAAATTATCTACTAGGTTCTCGGAATGCCAAATTTCCTTATCTGTCATTTTTCTGTCATGTCCATCTAGATGTATGTGTATGTCCAAGTGTATATGGCTCAGAGAGAGAAAAAACAAGTGTTTATAAAAATTTGTAGAATGGGCCACATTTGCAACTCACTTTTGTGCTGATAGGAGGCTCTAATTACCGAATCAGAGCCCACGAACAGTAAACTACTTTAGATCGATATACATCATCCCTAAGGAAGATATAGTGGCAAGCCTACAACTGCTAGGTCAAGTATAACCAATATTTAAAATCTTTAAATCACAAAACTTAGGCAGGCACTTTAAGGTAATATTTAACAATTCTATTATTAGTAAGGTAATATATTTTTTACAATATATCCAGAGAGTCCAGGGCAACATAAATAATACAAGCCAAGGGGAATAAAATGCTGATAACAGTATTTTAATCAAGTTCCTAACAGCAAAATGCTCGAGTAAATTAAGTATATAAATGCATAACATATACCTCAATAACTTTACTTTGTATATCTTCCCCAAGAACATCAACATGCAATCCTTCACTTCTTAATGCACGAACAGCATTGCCCCGAAGATGTTGCAATGGATGCCTGATTCCAACGACTACTCTAGTAATTCCTGCCTAATGTATAGAACATCAGTTTCATGTAAAAATTGACTATAAAATGCAACCATACGCAAATATCACCTAAGCACGCTAGTACAACAATCCTTAATAGAACTAGATTATGGTTAAGAAAAACATTTGAAAAGCCAGAGTGATTGCCATCACACCAAGTAATTAAAAACCATGCTTGCCCTCTAAATTATAAAGTAAGTTGAACTAACACTACACACTATCACATTTCACCAATAGCCCTCCATTAATGCACTGTTGGACTTCATGGACACTATCCATGTCAATTGCCTTGGTTGCTTTTTTTTTTTTTTCCTGAATAGCCTTTGTTGCTTTTAGTTTTTTAAATTTTGCCATTTGCTCTTCCACTCAAATTAATTATATTTATACTTCCTAAAATTTCTTTCCCATATTTTTTATTTGCAAATAACGCCATTACCAACAACATTGCTACTTCAAGCCTGCCGTCTCTCTCAAAATCGACGATTACATCACCATTACCAACAAGTATATCTACACTCCCTTATATTTCTTTCTCATCTTTTTGTTTGCAGATATCACCATTACAAACAATATTTCTAACGCCAATGTCAATGAAAATCAGAATAATGAAAATATATAGACAGATAAATGCCAAAGGTCTTGAAAGCTGCAACTAATTTACTAAAATCTATCAACCACAGACCACAGGGACCACAGTGTTTCTCGCAGTCAGCCCAGCTAATTTTATACTTCAGCCTTGATTGGCTGTTGTTCCCACATTTTTTTTTTCTTTTTAAAGTTCATAGCGCAATTGTGCAGGCAGGCACACTTCAGCATATATTTGTTGCAGCTGATCCAAAATCAGCTGAGCATAACTTTTTGATAGCCAGCAGCAGGGCATTGTTCAAGCTACTTGACGGCCAATTCTTTTGCTGCTTATCCAAAAAACCACTTCTTTGCCCTGAAACTTGATCTATGACTTCTTTATCCTTAATCTTGACCTTGTCAATAGTGACAAATGTATCAACCTCGAGCCTTACGGTCTACCAAATCCGGAACCAGGAATTTTCACACAAAATTTGTGAGGCTTCACTCATTTATAGTATTCCTTAAGTCACATGATTGTGGTAGGGAATCACTCATGGCGGACATAGTCCGTGATTTCCTATCATGGAGAGAAAGGGTTTCAAGTTCATTCCCTCTCTACACCCTCCCCATTTTTCTCCATTGGCTTCAAGCTGGTGGGCCTTTCTCTACCATGGGACAGAAAAAATGTTCACTTTGAGTTTTGACCTCCCAGTCGATGCTTTAAATTTAACTCAAATTTAAGGGAAGACGTATCTTAGACCCTATGTATCGCAAAGGAGAATAAAAAAAATGATTTTACATCCAAATTATGAATCAAGTTGAGTGCAAAATTATTGACGATTTGGGTACCAGCAACATTTGAAGTTGATGATGGATAGTTGGTGATATGATGGTTCTGGCCCTTCTGGGCAAGACTCAACAATGATGATGGTGATGGTGTTAATAGAGGTGGTTTGTCATGATTTAGCGTTTGTTGTCAAAAACGGCCTATTGTGGTAATTATGGATGCCGATATGGAGTGCTTCAAGATATGGTTGAGATTAGAGCCCGTGTTGGCATTGAGAAGGGTCACACTTCCAATTTTACAACAAATTACATAACTGAAAGGGTGAAGAGTAATATCATAATTGTACTTATATCTCAAAGTTTGTCAATTAAGCTAACTAACCCTCCTGAACCTTCAGAGGGCAATCTAATGTGCTTTGAAGTTCTAACAAGTAGTAATTATTACTATTTGAAACCTGTAGTTCAGATTATGAGGGTGTAGTTTACCCGGTTAGATAAGCATTTTCAAAATTGATTACAGTTCTTATAACCATGACAAGTACTTCAAACAATTTACCAAATTGAAAAATCAAATTTAATCAATCTATGTCTTTTTCATACTAAATGCCAACAAGCCCTATAACAGAAGTGTTAACAAAACAAAACGTTTAATTCACATGTATAGAACACAAACAAGGATAAGGAATTACATTTGAAAAACAAAAATGAAGAGAAAGAAACCATATATGGCAAAACCTTGATGAGAGAAGAGACGGCGGTGCGGTCACCGTGGCAATCGCCGGGTTCCATGTTGAGATAAGCGGTGGCGCCTTTGCTCCAATCGCCGGCGGCCTCCACCGCCAGGCTCTCGGCGGGCTTGGTCCCCTGCGCGTAAAGATACCCCTCTCCGACGACATTTCCGGCGGCAGTGGCGACCACGCAGCCGAAGTTCGGGTGGGGCGAGGTAAAGCCGGCGGACTTGTCGGCTATCTCGGCGGCGCGTTTGATGAATGCAGCATCAAGCGAGTGAGAGTTGTTGTTGTTGTTGTTGTGGTTGTAGGTATTGATCTTACAGATAATGGGAGGAGAGAAGGCTACGAACGAGAACCCCATTACAATTCACACAGCACTACAGCAGAGCTCCCCTCTCCGTCTATCTATTAGTATAGGGTTAATTACAATGACACCCCATGAGGTTTGTTATATTGACAGCCATATACAATTTAGTCATTTTTTGAACAAAGACACCTCTTAGATTTACAAACTTGAACAATGACACCCTATTTTAAAAAAACGGAGCCAAACACAGCCTTAAGTGACATGAAATGTCTAATATGCCCTTAGATATATTTTAATCCCCACCTAAAATGACCAAACTACCCTCGCAACTCATCTCTCTCTTTCAACATCTCATTATCTCATCTCATCTCATCTCATCATCTCATCTCTCTTTCTCTCAACCCAGTTCCTCCTCTTCTTCCACACCCTCCCAATCCGTAAATTAAACCCAAAATTCTTTCTATCTCACACACGCACACACACAGTATCTCTCAAACCCCCATCTCAAACCCCTAATCTCAATTCTTGCTCGCCGATTCCATGTCGCAGTTCCTCTCATGGCCGAGCCCTCCACCGGCTGAGCCGCCCGCCGTCATCGAGTGTCGTGGAGTTGGGTTTTAGATTCGTGTGATGGGTGACTATCTTGATTCGGAAAGCACTTTTAGGACGACGGCCGGCGAGCAAAATGGAATGCTCATCCGGTGGAGAGCTTGACTGTGGATAGATCGGTAGTGGAGGACTCGCGGCGGCCGGTGAAGGCTTGGCTGGTGAGGGCTCAGCCGTGTTTAAGACGGCCTTGGCTGTGGGCAACGGGAAGACGGCCTCGGTTGTGGGCGACGGGCTGTTAACACTGAACACCGGTGGATAGCTTGGCTGGATAGAATCAGCGACAGTTGGCTCGATTGACTTCGAAACGGCGATGTAGCGCGCGATTGACTGACAGCGGCAGTGACAGGCGTTGACTCGTCCGAGTTGGGCTCGGTGGTGGTAGAGCTCGGATGCGGTGAGCGAGGTTAGTTCAGCTCGGCAGCGGTGGCGATAGCTGTAAGTAGACGATGGAGGAATGGACTGCGGTTATGGATGGCTCGGATGAGGGCAACGGCGGGACGGTGATGGACTCGGCTGTGGGCCTGTGGCGGCTTGATGGACTGCGGCTATGGATGGCTCGGATGAGGGCGACGAAGGGACGGTGATGGGCTCGTGGCGGCTTGATGGACGGCGGGGAAGAAGGGCTCACAGAATGAATGGGAAGATCTAAAAATTGGAAGAAAAAAGGATATTTTGGATGAGGGTAATTTGGTCATTTTACATGGTCAAATGGTAAACATGTATTTTCATCATATTTGGGGTGTCATTGTTCAAGTTTGTAAACCTAAGGGGTGTCTTTGTCCAAAAAATGGCTAAGTTGTATATGGTTATCAATATGGCAAACCTCAGGGGGTGTGGTTGTAATTAACCCTATAATCTATATGGGGTAAGTGCAAAAAACACCTCTCTATTTTTTAAAATGTGTAATTAATACTCTTATTGTTCAAACATGACCCTTCTAATTTCAAAAAAATACAAATAAAGGCTTTTGACTAAGAAAATTGGTATGTGCCTTACATGTAACCAAAAGTCAACCTTTAATACCAAAACTACCCTTTTGCGCTGCCCAAAATGCCTACAGGGGGTTTTTTGCACTCTTCTAAAAATACAGGAGAATTTTTTGAAAACATAAAAATAATTTTAAAATTTTATTATTCTCTCCTCTTCAAATAATTAATTTCTAAATATATAATATATATAATAACCAAACTACCCTTTACTCATTTTCTCTCTTATTTCTATATATAATAAATATAATAACCTTATTTAGTTAATTTTATTTCTATAAATACTCTATATATAATACACATATTATATATATATTACTCATTCTATTCATATTTTTCTTTCCTATATATATATATATATATATTTCTTTCTTTATATTTTTTTTCCTTATTTGTATTAATTAATTTTCTTTCTATAAATAATCTATATATAATACACATTTTATATATATGTAATACTCGTCATATTTATATTTCCCTCTCGTATTTATATTATATCCTTCATTTCTTTATTTTTCTTCCAACCCCTTCCATTGTATCTGACCCATACATGTTTATATATAATTTTCATTAATCTCTCGAATAGGAACACTGACCTTGTGGGGATCAAGATTTTGTGAGAGTTTATGTAATTGATGACCATAAATTTCTAATCATACTGTAAATGCAAAATTACTCAACCAATTACGATCGAGAGAAAATAATGCAACACACTCAATAATAGTAAAAATAAACAAGAATACTGTGTAGAGAAGTATATAATTGCTTGGGTGATTTTTTTATGCTTTTATTGGAGGTCTTGGCCTTTATTTATACACAAAAGATAGTAGAATTATGGTATGACTCGCATTACTTGTTCTCCAATCCTTTCTATGTATGACTTCCTTTACAATTAGAGTTCTTTCCATTGAGGAATTTTCTATGCACAGAACTTGCCTTGTGCAAAATTTCCTTCCATGATAAATCCTCCTATTGGCAGGATTTCTTTATAACTGGTTGGGCTTTGAATAATGGGCCGTATGCTTGATATTAGCGAATGGGTTGATACCTTTTTTATCCGGCCTGGATAAAGGTCTAGAGGGCTGATAACTAAGACCCTGGGCTGAGAATACACTCAATTTGGGCTTGAGTGTGACGGGCCTTTGGAAGATAGATTTACATCTGAGATGACGTGGAGTAATTTCATTGGAGGGGATTTTTTCCCTCCACACTTTGCCCCCAATTCCTCTTTAATTGGACTACAGCTCCTAATTAAAAGGGAATTGAAGTTGTATAATTGCCACTTTCGTACGAGGCGTTTCCATTTGTGTTTATCGTTATTCCGACTCAAGGACTTTTTCAAGATTTGTTTTCGCGCTTGTTTCGTTCATTGCGTTCTTTACATTCTCGTATCTCCAGTTTAATCCTTGAACTTCTTTCTTCAATCTTGCATTATGAATACTTCGACTTCTCCTGAACGTGTAGAAATCGTCGATTCAGAATCCACGCCTTCGTCTTCCCCCAACCTCGTTAGGGTTCCTCCTCCTAGGGTTTTTGGCTTCCCTAGATCTACAGATGACTCGGCTATTCAGCCGGATGTTTCCTCACTTCCGGTTGAGACGTCCGCCTCTGGGTCAGATAGCATTTTTACTAAAGAAGAGAAAAATGCAATCTTATCTGTTCGTCGTATTAGGTTTTCCATTGAATCCACAATGGAGGATTTTGAGATTCCCGAGGATGTAGAAATTGTAGAATATCCCAAGGGCTCCGATTTTGTGCCGGTGAGGGCGTCAGTGATGACGAGTTGCTCCTTTCTGTCAGGCATATCAACACCCTTCGGTTCCCCCTTCACCCTTTTTATCATCTAGTTTTTAATAAATTAGGGATTGCACCCCTATAAGTAAACCTTAACTTCTTCCGAATAATCTCGGCACTCCTAGTTCGCCGAAGGCTGGAGAGTCTTGATTTGAATCTTGCTGATTTGCTGATTACTTATGTTATTTCCAAGCACGGAACCGAACCTGGCCACTTTTATTTTACTTCTCCTTTGCACCAGAGGATATGTATAAACCTCCCTTCCTCTGAAAAGAAGTGGAAAGAGAGGATGATAATCGTTAAAGGGAAATGGGTTGTATCTCAATCGAGCAAGCTCCCAATCCCACGCAAGTTTGGAAAATTAGGTATAGAATATACCCCCTCTCTTAATAAAAATTGTTCTGGTTGTTTCCCATGTCGAGTCTTACTTTTTCGGTGTATTTATGAATTTCTTGGTCTTATTTCAGTGACATTTCCTTCTTCTGTTGCCAAAAAAAGACTCTCCTTCCTTGAAAAGCAAGTTTGGTGCGATCCCCCCTCTATTGAGGATTTGCTTACATCGGCAAACCTTAAGGAAATTGCCTTCAGAGCTTTAGCTACAGACCTCATGGACCTTTCACTTTCTTCTTTTGACACCTTCCCAATGACTGAGGAAGAAAAACAGAGGGCTAAAGCCCTAAAGAAGAAAGCTGCCGACGATCGGCCTCTGATAATTATTAGATCAAATGAGCACGAAACTGAGCTTGACGAGCCTCATTTAAAGAAGACTAAGTCCAACCCACCTTCCTCTAGCAAGAATAAAGCTCCTTCTAAGAGCAAAGGAAAAAAGGCTAAAGAAACTGACCCTGAGGAAGAGGTCAGAGCATATGTTTTGGCTGAGACCGGGGCACCTTGGACGCCCTCTTTTTCAAGAGCTGATAAATCGGTGCTTCACTCTGGTAATTCCATGATTACCGACCCATCCGCTGCACTGGTAATTGCTCGGGGTATGTGGATTCCTAAAGATGAAGAAATTATTGGCAGAATGGGATTGGAACAGCTGCTTCCATCTACCCCCGTTCAAGCCATAGAGGTTTGCTCTCCCTTCTGCTTTTTTAACTTTCTTATCCATTTTGTTTACCTTACTATTTTTATTGTCTGATGATGCAGGGCTTGTATCGCACTATTGCCCTCTGTGCCACTGCTGAGGCTCAGTCTCTTTCTATTAAGAAGCTAGAGAAACATCTCAGCAATTCTGAGAAGAAGGCATCCCATGCCATTGCCAATGCACAAATTACGTATGAGGCTCGGGATGTTTATAAGAAGCGTCTGGCTGCTTCTGATGCAAAAGTTGAATCACTGGAGGCTGAAGTCCAGCGTTTGAATGATGCCCTTAGCACCTGCATCATTGCCGGGAGGCAGATGCAAGGTCGTTACTCCAGTTTGGTGCGCTTGTCGAGTGCAAAAGCTTACCGGCCCGGCTTCAATCAAGGCTCAGGCCCCAAAACGATGGATCCTGATGCCTTTGATGCAAACATGGGGGTGTCTTTCCCTTACAACGAGGGTCTAAAGGCTCATGAGGCTGAGGTGCTTTTTGCTGAAATGGTGAAGGCTCACCCAAAAGATCCTCTAAGCTCATCAACTCCTGTAATTCCTGGTCCTGCAATTCCTCCACCTGCAAGTCCAGCTGTGGTAGATGCTTTCGAATCTGCCCCGTTTGATCCGAAGAGGAAGTAGGATCGAGTAACTTTTTTTCCTTTTTCCTTTTGTAATGAAACAACATTGGGAATGATAAACATGAATGATATAACCTTGTTTCTTAAGCTGTCTCACTTTTATTCTACTTCGACTAAGTATACTTGTATGCTTCTGATATTGCACACACTCTGTTGGATAAGATTTTTTTTTTTTTTTTTTTTTTAAGGAAAGTACCCTACTTGAAGGTTCCTTATTTGTTTTAGTCTAAAGCAAAATGAATAAGATGTGAAGAAGAGATCTCCTCTAACAGTTTATCTGATAATAGAGGATTTTTTTTCCTTTGGTGATTTAACCGTCAAGGGAACCCTTCTTGACATGGATTTGTGTGAAGCAAGTATATTTATACTTGTTTCTTCTTGTAGTTTTTCGATGTGGGACAATCTCGTGGCTTATATCACCGAACTTAGAATCAGTGAATATGAACGTGAGAGTAAAATTTGTTGCGCCGGACACTTTGGGTCGGAGGCGAATGAATTACTCCCCGGTGCTGAGCCTAAGGGGAGTTTTGCTGAGCCGGACATTTTAGGGTCCGAGGCGAATGAATTACTCCCCAACGCCGAGCCTGAGGGGAGATTTGCCGAGCCGGACACTTAGGGTCCGAGGCAAAATTACTCCCCGACGCTGAGCCTGAGAGGTGTTTTGCGGAGCCGGACACTTAGGGTCCGAGACGAATGAATTACTCCCCGGCGCCGAGCCTGAGGGGAGGTTTACCCAGCCAGACACTTAGGTTCCGAGGCGAATGAATTACTCCTCGGCGTTGAGCCTGAGGGGAGGTTTGCCGAGCCGAACACTTAGGGTCCGAGGCGAATAAATTACTCCCCGGCACTAAGCCTGAGGAGAGTTTTGCCAAGCCGGACATTTAGGGCCCGAGGCGAATGAATTATTCCCCGGCACCGAGCCTGAGGAGAAGTTTGCATATATATATATATTCTTTTTTGGCTTTTTCAAACTCAAACAACTTATCATGAAGCCGAGGACTCAAAAATGATAGGAGGTCAAGAAAGCGAGTAACAATGGCTGGGAAGTTTCCTATTTGTTTACTTTGGAAACTTTCCTCTATTAGTACTCCCTTCTTGGCAACCAAATGTAATGGACAACGCATATATTAACCACATTTCTTTTCTATTTTTATCCAATGTGGGATATAAACTAAATTTTGTCAAAAAGGTAGGTGTAAGGAATGCCTCTGGTATTGAGCTTGACAGCTTTTAATACCGGTGGGCCCTCCTTACACCGCAATCAACTATTTAAATATTCCCATATATAACAGAATGTAACTCACACTTTTTTGTCGATGTGGGACATAGAGTTTTAACCATAGGCCAAAACGCATGCTTTTTAATAACTTGCTTCCAACATTGCTTTGCATAAAAGCATAAAATTGCATAATCACAGTGTAGTATGAAAATTTCTTTGCATAAAAATTGCTTAATGCATAATGCGGCACAAAATTACATAATCATAGAATGGTATGGCCCCCATTTTTATGGAAAGAAACAAATTAAGTAGAATTATACCGAATATGATAGAAGTAAAATAAAGAAAAGCTTGGCTGATTGTGGGCATACGCAGCCTTATTTGTGAAGAATTCTTAACAAAATTGATAAACTTATCTAATGGAAATAGCTTTTAAGGTGTATTGCATTCCAAGGATGCGCAATGGGACGTCCGTCAGCTTCGGCCAAACAATATGCTCCCTTCCCCACTACTTCGGTAACCCTGTAGGGTCCGGTCCAATTAGGTTTCAGTTTCTTTATCTCGCTGTCTCTTGCTTTGAAACCCAATCGCCTATCGCAAAGCTCCTAAATCTAACACGTTTGTTATAATTGTTATGTAGCAGCTGCTGATATGAAGTAAGCCTAATTGCTGCAGCATCCCTTTTTTCATCCAGGATATCGAAACTATGTTCGAGCTGCTGACTATTGTTTCCTTCAAGCAACAGGGATGTCCGAAGGGTTGGAACTGCCGCTTTAGTTGGGATCACAGCTTCAGATCCATAAGCCATGGCAAAGGGACTCTCCCCCGTGGGCCGCCGTGGTGTGGTTCGGTACGCCCAAAGCACCTGAGGGAGATTCTCATACCATTTTGTCTTGAGTTTCTCCAACTTCTTCTTTAAACAACTGGAAATGGTTCGATTAGTTATTTCAGCCTGTCCATTCCCTTGTGGATGACTGACTGCAACTAGCTTTTGTACAATTCCATGCTCAGAAAAGAATTTTCTTGTACTTTTATTGTCGAGGTTCTTACCATTGTCCATCATAATGACTTTTGGGACCCCAAATCGGCAAATGATGTTGTTCCAAAAGAAACTTTTCACCTGCTCATGGGTCACACTTGAGTAGGCCTCGGCTTCTACCCATTTAGTAAAATAATCTGTAACCAGTAGCACGTACTCCTTTTGTTCCACGGTCTTGGGTAAAGGGCCCACCATATCAATCCCCTATTGTGCGAATGGCCATGGATTTGCCATTGCATGTAAATCTTCGGTAGATTGATGCTTCATGGGACCGTGGCGTTGACATTTGTCACATCTTCGAGTATACTCTTCTGCATTCCGGGCCAAGTACGGCCAGAAAGTAGCCTTGAGTTAGAACTTTATGTGCAAGGGATCTACCCCCAGAATGGTTGCCGCAATCTCCATCATGGATTTGTTTCAACACCACAAGAGCCTCAGTAGGGCTTAAACATTTCAGGTAAGGACCTGAAAATGACTTCCGGTATAACTGGTTGTTAATGATGGCATATTTAACTGCGGTGAGTCGGAGCTTCCGTGCTTCGGGCTTCTGGTTTGGAAGAATTCCATGCTTGAAGTAGGCTTCCAGTGGATCAATCCAGCATGGTTCTCGAGGAATAACTGGAATCACCATTACTTCTTGCTGAGGGTTAATGCTGGGCTCGTCCAAGACGTCAATCGGCACAATCCAAGTCAGATTTTCATTTGAGGATGACGCTGCTGTGGCCAATTGATCTGCTTCGGCATTCTCAACACGAGGTACCTGACAAAATTCGATTTGATCGAATCCCCGTGTAACATTCTCTACAGCTTCTTTATATGCTTTCATTCTTTCCTCTTTGGGATGATACTGACCTGTCACTTTATTTATAACAAGCTGTGAGTCACTAAAAATCTTTAAACAACGTACCTGGAAACTGCTGGCTAATTGAAGACCAGCAAGTAACGCCTCGTACTCGGCCTCAGTGTTCGTAGCAGGGAATTTCAAGCAAATAGACTGCTGCAACTTGGTGCCTTCGGGTGTTGACATAACAACCCCTACCCCTGCACTTGTTTGATTCGAGGAACCATCGATCCGAAGGTCCCACTGTGGTTCAGGGGGTTCCAGCTCTTCGGGAGTGTCTTCATATCCGAGAAGAAAGTCTGCTATGGTTTATCCCTTATGCGACACCTTCGGCTCATAAGTTATGTCTAAGGAACTGAGCTCGATAGCCCATTTGGTAATTCTCCCAGATAGATCGGGTTTAGAGAGTATACCCCGTATAGGATAGTTGGTAAGTACCACAATGCTGTGAGATTCAAAATAATGCCGAAGCTTCCTCTTGGCATAAACTAAGGCTAAGATGATTTTCTCTGCTTTGTTATATTGTGTCTCCGCATCTGTCATTGTCTTACTTGTGTAGAAGATGGGATATTGCATTTTTCCTTCCTTTCTAATCAATGCTGCACTTGTCGCTATACTAGAAATCGCCAAATACATAATAAAAACCTCCCCGGGTTTTGGAGCGGATAGAATTGGTGGTTCAGCCATGTAACCTTTCAACTGATTGAGGGCCTCCTACTGCTAAGGTCCCCATATATCTTTATTCTTAGATCTTATGGCATCGAAGAATGGTTTGCACTTATCTGACAATCGGGATATAAACCGGCTGAGGGCTGCGATCCGACCGGTAAGAACTTGTACCTCCCTGCGATTTTTTGGTTCCTGATTCTGGATGAGGGCCTTAGCCTGAGCCGGACTTACCTCTATCCCTCTTTTATTCACTATGTGGCCGAGGAACTGACCTGCTGATACCGCAAAGGAGCACTTGGATGGATTCAGCTTCATGTTGTACTTCTTCAAGGTATTGATAACTTCCTAGAGATGCTTCGGATGGTCTTCCTTCTTCATACTTTTGACTACCATGTCATCTATATGTGCTTCAACAGTCTTTCCCAACAGATTATCAAAGATCTTGTTGACAAGACGTTGATAAGTAGCTCCAGCGTTCTTCAGTCCGAAAGGCATGACCCTGTAATAATAAGTCCCCTTTTCTGTAATGAAAGCCGTTTTTTCTTCATCTTCAGGGTTCATAGGAATTTGATTGTATCCCGAGTATGCATCAAGGAATGACAGTCTCTCGTAGCCGGTGGTAGCATCAACCATCTGATCTATCTTGGGCAGAGGGAAGCTATCTTTTGGGCAGGCTTTGTTGAGGTTAGTATAGTTGAGATACCCCTCGGATCCGAGACACGGGTTGATCAGGCCCAGGCCCAAACCCGAGGGAATATCAAACAATTAATATTTTATAATGAATACGGAATACAAAATAAATTAAGAAATGAAATTAAAGCTGGAAGGAACTAAAAATAGAATCCGCAAAATATTATAATTATTAAAATCCATCAAACCCAAACTCCAAAACTCCATCAGTTTAAAACATGCGAATCCATCTCTAGTGGACCCCTACTAAACATCCAAACGGAAGATAGAACAACTGTAATAAACGTCCAGAAATAAAACTATAGAGAGAGCCCTACATCGTCAGAAGAGTGAATAGAGACCTCTGCTCAGCACGAACACGTCTAAACCTGGAACTGTCGTGTACCTGAAAAATAGAAGTGGGTCAGGCCCACGCGCAAGTTCTATACTACTACAATCCAAACAGAGGCCCGATATGCATGTACATCATAAACAATTCAACAATAGCCAATAGTCCGTACATATATATATATATATTCATACTAAAGGACTCTCACTGGACTACAGGCCGGTCTCAACCTGAATAGAGACAACATGCTAAAACGCACACGAAGTGGGCATATGTACCTATACCTAAACAGGGTACACCTCCAACCATCGTAGCCAGCTACACATCCCGATGCATATACGCTCCCTAGCCATCGGTCCTGAGGCTCAAGCTCATACCGAGGCACCATAACAGTACATATATATAATCCATCCAAAATCCCTGGTATTGCCGCTCAACAAGTAGTTGCCATGACAATACAAATCCACGGGACTTAACTTTTAGTTAATCCCATCCTTATTCCAAGTAGGTGGGTAATGGTATTGTTTTAAAAACCAAACCCATCCTTAGTATGGCACCGTCCCATACCGGTGCCTACTTTCCAATCCTCCAGTAGTCAATAATACCAATAAATCAAGTATATATCAACTAAATTCCAACATCCAACATTCAATGTTAGTAGTGATAAAATAAGCATTGATAAACAGGGTCACAACAACAACATATACATGCCCAATTTAAGTTGTTCCCTTTAGTCTGATATAAAGACAGAATTAATTAAAACTTCCATTTAACACCTTATAAATGACATACATATATGTAGGGTATGTATCACAAAATCCTAACCTCCACAGTTGATACTAACTGTGATAATGTAAGCATCAAAACAATATTCACAGTATGTATGTAGACATGCTCATATTATAGTGTTCCACAAAACCGATCTAGTGTTAAACTCAAATCCTCCTAGTATTTAAGTTCCAACAGTTGCTATTACAGAAGTTAAGATAGCTATCATCTAGACCCATCCTTCCAATAATTTATACTAGCAGTGGTAAGGAAAAATGTGAACCACAGAACCACAATGCATCCACAAGCATACAACACTACTGTAACTACCAGTTTCATAGCAAAACAGATATCATTTTAGTTTGGTTTAATCTTCATTAATCATGAAATCATTTAAGAGTGCAAAGAGTATAAAGCCTAAGGGAAAGAGTAAGGATAGAATCTTGCCTCAGAAACTTTTGTTCAAAGTTTCAACGTCGTCTTCTTAAAAAATCCCAGCGAGTTCCAAAACCCGGTTACTGTTCACGGGTACGAAACACAATTCCCGAACTCAAAATCTGATCTCAACCGTTCAGATTGTGCGACACTGAGTCATGAACCTATCTTCCAAATTTTAGCTCAATCGGAACACGGACGAACCAGGATCGGATGTTTGATGAAATCTGGGCAGAATGGAAAAAAACCTGTGCGACCCAGTTACTGTTCACGAGTACGAATCACTGTTCCCAAGGTCAAACTCTGATCTCCACCATTCAGATTGTGCATCACTGAGTCGTGAACCTCTCCTCCAAAATTCAGCTCGATCGGACCACGGACGAAGCAGGATCGGATATTTGATGAAATCTGGGCAGAATGGAAAAAAACCTGTGCGACCCAGTTACTGTTCACGAGTACGAATCACTGTTCCCGAGGTCAAACTCTGATCTCCACCATTCAGATTATGCGTCACTGAGTCGTGAACCTCTCCTCCAAAATTCAGCTCGATCGGACCACGGACGAAGCGGTATCGGAGCCTTGATCAAACCTTGGCAGAATGTGAAAAACTACGTTTTTCCTTCTCCACTTCCACAACACGTGTGCTTTGTTTAAAAAAACCCTACACAGACGTCTACCTTATACTTATAGAGTTTTCCTAAACCCTTGGTTCATTTAAGTCCAACTCACAATCCTAACCGGCCCATCCAATTAACGTAGAAACCTACGACGGCTATAATATAAAACCCTAATTTATACTGTAATTAAAACCCTAGTTAGATGTATTTACCTAATTATCCTATTCACCATAAATACTTAACAAATAATCTAATTGAACAAAATAATAATTAGTAAACCCAATTAAACCAAATAAGACACACATAAAATAAGACACACATAGAAAAATTAAACCAATTACACTTAAACCATTAATGCCAATTAAATAATTAAAACACTAACAAGTAATTCCAATCAAATAACTAAACCAATTACACTTAAACTATTAATGCCAATTAAATAATTAAAACACTAACAAGTAATTCTAATCAAATAACTAAAAATAAATATCATTTAAATAAATTAAATCACCACAAAAGAAATAAATTAAATCACCACAAAAGAAAACAATTAAGCACCTAACAAAAAAAAATAATGACACATAATCAAATAAAATGCACTTAAATAATAAATTAAATACCATTAAATACTAGGTATATCCTTTTTAAAATTAGGGGTATTACATTCTTCCCCCCTAACAAAAGGAATTCCGTCCTCGGAATTCACTCGTACCTTCTTCCAATATTTCAGGAAACCGTGAGCGAATGACATCCTCTCGTTCCCAAGTGGACTCAGACTCATTGTGATGACTCCACTGAACACGAACCAAAGGAATAACCTTATTACGAAGAATCTGATCTCGTCGGTCGACAATACGACACGGTGGCTCTAAATAAGTTGCATCCGGCTGCAACGCAATCTCCCCAACATCGATATGCTGATACCGATCCTCATCTCGAAGAAATTTCCGCAACATGGAAACATAAAACACGTTGTGGACGCGATCCAAAGTATCCGGAAGTGCCAACCGATAAGCAACAGCTCCAATGCGATCCGTAATCATGAATGGACCAACAAATCGCGGTGACAACTTCCCTTTTTTCCCAAAGCGCATAACACCCTTCATAGGAGACACTTTGAGTAGAACCTGATCCCCAACCTGAAACTCCAAAGCCCGAGTACGACGATCAACATAGCTCTTTTGCCTACTTTGGGCAGTATGCATGCGATATCGAATAAGAGCAATCTTTTCAGAGGTATCCTTGATGAACTCAGGACCTAAGAATCGATTCTCTCCAACCTCCATCCAACAAACAGGTGACCGACACGGTCGACCGTACAATGCCTCAAATGGTGCCATACCAATAGTCTTCTGGAAACTATTGTTATAAGCAAACTCCACAAGTGGCAAATATTCCTCCCAGTGGCCCTTGAAATCCAGAACACACGACCGAAGCATATCTTCCATAATCTGATTCACCCTCTCAGTCTGTCCGTCAGTCTGAGGATGATAAGCAGTACTAAGGTGTAACTCCGTACCTAAAGCCTGCTGAAAACTCTTCCAAAATCCAGATACAAAGCTCGAATCCCTGTCCGATATAATAGACAATGGAATGCCATGGAGCTTCACAATCTCTGAAATGTAAAGCCTCGCCAACTGCTCCGAAGTGTAGTCAGTACAAATAGGCAAGAAATGAGCTGACTTGGTCAACCTATCCACAACCCTTGAAAGAATTTGGCAACCCTTCCAAAAAATCCATAGATATGCTCTCCCATTTCCACTCCGAAATTAGTAGTGGCTGTAGAGCTCCTGGCGGCCTCTGATGATCAATCTTAACCATCTGACAAGTACTACATTGAGAAACAAAAAGAGCAATGTCCCTCTTCATACCTGCCCACCAAAACTGCCGCTTCATATCTTGATACATCTTATCGCCTCCTGGATGAACAGAGAACTCAGAGTGATGAGTCTCAGTCATCACATCCTTCCTCAAATTATCAGCAAAAGGTACCACTAACCGTCCCTTGTACCTTAAACCTCCATCAGCCCCAACATAGTAGAATGGAACCTCTCCGGAAGCTATCTCTGCGACCTTGTCGACACACTGCTGATCGGTGAGTTGTGCTTGTAAAACCTTGCGAATGATGGAAGGTGTAACCACCATGCAAGCCATAAAAGCATCTGATAACTCATCCACAC